AGCTGAATATGTTCCCGCCATGACAGTCTTTGACTTTTCACAAATCCTAACATGTCATACCCTTCATTCAGTTCATTAATCTGGTTATTTCCCGTGATTCTCCATGTGCCGTCTCCCTCTTGCTCCGGGCCATATACTTTTCTCAGTATCTTTCTCTCGAATGTCCTCTTTTTCGTCATTACCCAGGTTTCACAACCATAGGTTACTACGTGTCTAATCAAAGTTTTGTAGATAGTCATTTTGGTTTTTTTTTATAATAATTTCGATGTCATCAATCTTTTATTAGCATAGTATTTACGATTTCCACTGGAAATACGTGCATTAATTTCGCTATTTACGGAATTCTTCTGATTGATTTCTGTGCCCAGATATGTGAAGGCATCCACACGTTCAATAGTATAGTTGTCTATTGCTATATTATTTTCATTTTTCAGGTGTTCTTTTGATGGCCATGTACTTAGTTTTTGTTTCGTTTATTTTAAGCCCTCTTTATTGTGCTTCAGAATCAATTTCCTTAAAAGTCTTCACTAGTCGTGCCTTGCTTCTACTAATAATGACGACATCATCTGCATATACAGTAATTTGTGCTGTCTTGGTGTTTATTTGGCGCGTTACATTGGTTTTTCTGATGACTGCTTCAAGAACTAGGTTGAACAGCATGGTTGAAAGTGCGTCTCGCCCCCATGTTGATGTTAAACAGGGGAGACATCTCCATCTACTGTAACTGCGGCTTTTAAACGCTGCAACGTCATTTTGGGGCTGATTTTTTATTATACCTAGATTTCGGAATTCTTCAGCATTTTGTCTTTTTTCACACTATCAAAAGCTTGTTTTAAGTCTATATACATATTATATAGCTCTATGTCGTCATCATAGGCTTTCTCTTGTATTGTTTTAAGTATGAATATGTTGTCTGTAGTGGCTCTATTTGGTCTGAATCCATTTTGATAATCACCAATTATATTTTCGGAGTATTCTGACAATTTAGTGTAGATAACGCCAGAAAGGATTTTGTACACTACATTTAGCAATGTAATTGGTCTGTAAATTGTGGCATTTCGTCTTATCTCCTTTTTTATATATTGGCTGTACAAGACCAACTTCTCATTCCTCCGGCATTTGCTCCTTGGTCCATACCAACTTTATCAGGTAATGGATTCTTCCCCAGAGTTCGGGTCCTCCATATTTCAACAATTCTGCCGAAATTCCGTCCGTTCCTGGCGCTATACTTGGTGAAAAATTCTTCTAATTTAATTTTTTCTGACTTATTCATATTGACAATTCAGACATATACATTTTAAGTACACAACTTTAAAATTATATTGCTAATATTGCTGAGTTGCCTTCCTGGGACGACTTTATTGTAAAACAGTTCTTCATTTGATTACATGAAATCAACTTTAAACTTGAGAATAGCCGTCAGAAAAATCATAGCATGTGATTCGTCTTTAAAAATCAACCACATGTAATGATGACAGTAAAATTCTCCTGCTAGTAATTCCATTGTAAATCTTAAGAAAAAAAAAAGGAAAAAATCTCTTTACTCTCAAATAAACGCCAAACTCTGTTTTTATGTTTGTTATTAGTGGTATTTTCTTTTTGTTATCTTCCTCCTTTAATATTTGTTGTTTCAAGATCCTACTGCATTCTGCCGAAGAATTTAGCATAATTAGAACCGCTTCTTTGATGTTCCTCTATTTACCATCTATTTATTTTGGAACTATACTTGAATTTTTCCATTGAACCGTATGTTCATTATCCCATGCGTGTTTATATATTTGAGATCTATCAAAGTCTCTATTTTTAATATATGATTGATGTTCACTTATTCTAACATTTAATGGTCTTGATTTTTCACCTAAATAAAAATTATCGTATTTACAAGGTCTTCAAGTTTTGCTGATGATCCCTTTATCGTCGGCATTGTTATTTTCCTCGTATTATTCCTTGTGGATGCTATAGGATCCATATAAAACTCGTAACAGGAGAATTTTACGTCATCATTGCGTTTGGTTGTCTTTTTAAAGACGAATCACACGCTTTGCTTTTTCTAACATGTACCTATTCTCAAGTTTTTTTTTTGGATTCAAGACTCAAGATTTTTGGAAAGTGAGTTTTTTAAAACCCATTTTTAAATCTGGTCAAAATAATAATGTTGAAAATTACAGGGCTGTTTGTTTGCAGTCTGAACTACCAAAGTTGCTTGATTTTTTTGTTAACCATATGTTAACCTACGATTGTAAAAATTTAATTCTCGGTCAACAACATGGTTTCTATCAAAAGAAATCTACTTGTACAAATCTTATTTTGTATTCAAACTTCATTGTTGATTCTATGGAATCGGGAAACCAAGTTGACTCCATATATGCTGATTTTGCCAAAGCATTTGACAGGGTAAATCACGAAATATTAATTGCTAAACTTCGTGGATACGGAATTGGAGATAATTTATTGGATTGTATCACGAGTTATTTAACAGATCGTTCACAAATAGTAAAATATGGTAATTTTGTTTCTGAAGCGATTAATGTTACTTCGGGTGTACCTCAAGGTTCTCACTTAGGCCCACTTCTATTTAATCTGTTTGTGAATTATATATCATCAGTAATTAATAATAGTGAATTTCTATTGTTTGCTGATGACATAAAGATCTTTAAAGCAATTAAAAATACCTCTGATATGGATGCTCTTCAGTCTGACTTAAATAATTTATCTCGTTGGTGTGACATTAATGCCTTATATTTAAATATAAAAAAGTGCTATAAAATTACGTTTTCCAGAAATACGAAACATCAGTTATATAGAACATACATACTTAAGGGAGTATCGATTACAGAAGTAAATCAAATTAGAGACCTTGGAATTACATTTGACCAAAGACTAATGTTTGATAGGCATATTAATCATATATACATCGCGGGCTTATAGAATGCTCGGCTTTGTTCAAAGGAACTCCCGAGAATTTTCAATATTTACTTTCAAAATTTTGTATTGTTCTCTAGTTCGGTCCATTTTGGAATATTGTAATATTATTTGGTATTCATATTATAATATGTATATTGATCAGTTGGAACGAGTTCAAAATAAATTCCTAAGAATTTGCAGGTATAAAATGGGTTTTAATAGAACTAACTGTGATTATAACTATATTCTTTGTCAACTTAATATGAAAACTTTGGAAAATAGAGAATCTGACTGTGAATTGCGTTTTTTGCATAAAATTCTTAATGGTTATGTTGATTGTCCGGAACTGCTGGAATTAATTGTTTTTAATGTAAATTCTAGAAGAACACGCTCTCCTGACCTGTTTAGACTAAAGTTTCATCACACGAATTATGGTAAAAGTGAGTCAATCACAAGGATGTTGAGAACTGCCAATAATTTGCAAGATAGTGTTGAATTGTTTAATTTATCCGTGTCCTCGTTCAAGAACAGTTTAAAGAAATTGAGACATTAATGTTATTAATACTTTTTAAAATTGTAATATATGACTACAGTTTATATGTTAATTATATGTGTATATTGTAATTTTTGTAAGGAAAAAGGGTTCATCCCGTTAAATAAACAAACAAACAAACAAGTTAAAGTTGATTTCATCTAATCGAAAGACCTATCTTATAAGAAAGTCGTCCCAGGAACGCAACTCAGCAATATTAGCAATATAATTTTAAAGTTTACTTCTTTAAACTTTAAAATGTATAATATATGTCTGAATTGTCAATATGAATGAGTTAGATAACATTAAATTATAAGCCAAAACGCCAAAAATAAAATTAGAACTCAAATTGTGGCTTATTCCCAATAGAAATAGTAATTGCATTAAGATGAAACAAGAAAATAGCTTCAGAGCAATATAAAGCCATTTTATGTACTTTCCTTTCCTAATATTGTAGTCATTTTACCCTAAAATGTTGATTGATACAATAAAAATAACGAAAAAACACCGTTTTTGCAACTTAAAAGTTTCATAAAAAATATAATCAACAGTTTGGGGTTGCACGTACTTGGGGGCCAGGCATTGACCACTAATTAATGCTCAGTCATAAAAGAAAATAGTTACTTGAAAAATCGAAATACGTTAATTTAACAAAAAAGCATTCAAAAATTATATTTGTTGAGGAAACTTTCTATTTACACAAACATTAAACAATTTCGAATCATCCTGTATAACAAAATTTATTTTAACAACGTTTTTTTTATTTTTAAAAAATATATAAACGATATTTCAAAATATTATGTATTATTAATGAAACAATTACCAACAGGTCAATTTAAAACCGCATATTGCCATTATCTCTATTTTTTTATTTGTTACACGGCGCAATATCAACAAGTTTACGACCATTCACAAGTAAGATGAATGACCTTTCTTATTATCGAATCGATATTAAACCCGACGTTGCCACGTTCGACAAAAAAAATAGGGAAACAGCGAGTCGCTTGGACGACGATAAAACGGTTGCCGGTTCTCTCAGAAACTTGAGATCTTCCGAAAATATCTCACTCGCAGACGTTGCCAAGTTTCTAATAAAATCGGAAATGTTAGAAAATAGATGAAAGAATCTAAAAATTGTTTCTTTATAGTGAAAATGAGTTAAATAATTTATAGAGAAATGTATATTGGCGATAATTGTTATTTAGAGTATTAGAGAGTAATGTGTTTGCTTTCGAATATTGCAATTAGCTCATATATTTTGGAACTTAGTTCTTAAAGCATTTTATTTCGATTCAGAGATTTCAGAATCTACGAAGCCCATTGCTCCTATATTGTTTATTAATATTAAACACCGTCCTTTGAGTTTCAAGCTTCATTCTAATCGTATTATAAAAGTATTCTAGTCGTAAGCAGTATTTTGTACAGTGTTCATAAATAAAATTTTCGTTACAATATTTTCTTGGTTTATTTAGAGGGTATTCTGCTAGAGTAAAAAAACTTATCTTCAATGTAATGCAAATTTATTAAAATCATAATGAAAATGTAGAAATAATAAATAACATACCTAGAGGCTTTTGTGGGTTTGGTGGTCAGTCGTTTATAGAAGAAGGTTGAGAAGACGTGGATCTTCGATTTTTGTTCTGAAGGTAAGTTGTCCACGAGATAGGTTAGGTAGAAATCTATTATCACATCATTAAGAAACTGGTCTTGAGCCAAGCACATGTAATCCTCTGTGTTGATGGTTAAGCGGTAACGGCCCTCCGGTGGATAAGTCAGCAACTGTTTTATCTCGGCGAAAGCGCTGTAAGGAAATAAAATCATGTAAAGATAATTCATAATGTCGTGGACCTGACGTAATCATTTAGTGACGTCGATCTACGAACGAAACAATGATATTAGGCATTGCTAAAAACATGTAGTTATTATAGCGAGAGAGAGAGACGAACCAGTTTTTGCGTTAGTGAAATAGCTTTAATATTGTTATTTTTTTATTTTTGTGAACAATTGTTCACAATTCAATTAATTGATAAGTTTGTATTTAACTTATTTCGTTCTTAACGCTTCATGTTTTCCCCACTATGTTATGCTTATGCGAATGCGAAATCGCGATCAGTTGCGTAGAAGTTATCGAATTGAACACATTAGAGTCCGAGGGACTCTACGAGTAGTTTGTGATAGTTTTTATTTCAATGGCGGTTTCTAAAATCTTCTGTTATTGACATCAGTCTTCAAGTCTAACCATGAAGACATCAACACACTGTTTGCTACTGATGGTACGGGGAGAGAAATATTTAGAATGGCATTCTCAGCACGTAGATTTGCTGCACTGCTAATATGCCTACGATTTGATACACGAGAAGAAATAGAGAAAGAAATAGATAGATATTCAAGATTATAGATAGATAGAAGATATTCAACCAAAATTCTCAAAATTCTTATGTACTAGGTGCTAATACTACAGTCGATGAAATGCTAGTTTTTTGATCAAATGCGGTTTTCGAGGGCGATGTAGGATTAAAATTTATATACCTAGTAAACCAGAAAAGTATGGAATAAAGATTGAATGTTTAGCACATGCTCGCACCTACTATGTATACAACACATATATTCTGGCAAAGGATCTGATGCATTAGAGGATTTGACTCTAATGAAGAAAAAAAACTCCGCCTCTGGTAGATACTGGGTGGATTGAGTAGCTCAGTAAATGCCAGTGCCGGTCCCAAGCCCGGATGAAGGAGGAGGGTTACAGCGGTAGGTTAGCTCCCCACCCTGCGTAAAAGAAATATTGCTAAAAATCCCAAAGAACAGCCTCGGAACTCAGATGGCTTCAACGGAAAACGACATAGGCAAAGAAAAAGGCTAACGAATTTTGGATGTTGGAACATACAAGGACTGAATACAAAAGAAGACCAAGTATTTAAGGAACTCAGTACATACCGAATTGACATCGCAGTACTCAGCGAAACAAAAAAGAAAGGACAGGGGAACCACTACAAAGACGATTATATATACTTCTGGAGCGGAGTAGAAAAATCAAAAAGAGCCAAAGCTGGAGTAGCGGTCGTGATAAGAAAAAACATGGAAAAATGTATTACCAACTGGAACCCGATAGACGAAAGAATTATAACAGTAGACCTTACAACAAAGGGGAGAGACATAAAAATAATTGGCATCTATGCATCCACGGACGACTCAGATACAAACACTAAAGAGATGTTCTTCGACAAACTCTCAGAAGAGTTAAATAAAATAAAAAAAGACAAGAAATAGTCCTGCTAGGGGACCTGAACGGAAGAGTAGGTAAAGCTCTTGACAACAAAATAATTGGACAACACGGAGAAGATGTAGTAAATGAGAACGGAACAAGATGGTTGGAGGTATGCGAACAACATTCGTTAAAAATACTGAATGGATTTTACAAACATAGAGAGATAAATAAATATACATGGACTCAAAAGACAAGAAAACTGCAGTCAATTATAGACTATATAGTAGTTGAACAAGAGAGATCTTTAAGACCCTACGATTTAAAAGTTTGGAGAGGGGCAGAATGTGGATCGGATCACCTACTAGTAAAGGCACCCGTGGAAATAAGACATATTAAACAAAATAAATCCCAAGAACAGACAAACAAAGAATCCATACGGCTCTATAACATAGACAGCTTAAAAAATGAGTCCACAAGTTTTCTTTATAAACTACGTTTGGCACAAAAATTAGACGAAGAAATAAACGGAACAGCGGAAGAAATGTATGAGACTTTGAAAATCAAAATTCATGAAGCAGCATTAGAAGCTCTAGGTACGAAAGAAAAAGTAAAACGTAGAAATTATTGGTGGACAGAAGGTTTATTAGAACTGGTAGAAGAAAAGAAAAAACTGTATCTCAAATGGTTAGCGACAAAAGATGAGGAAGACCGAAAGAACTATAACAGATACAAATATATAGTAAAAAAGGAAATTAAAAAAACAAAAAACATAACCTGGGACAACAAGTGTGCAGAAATAAGCTCAATGGTAGGAGGATCTAGGTCCAGACAAGCTTGGAAAACTATCAACAGTCTTAGAAAAAATACAAACGAAACAAAAAAAAAAACCCCATAGACATAGAAAGATGGAAAAATTATTATGAAAATCTATTAAATGAACAACGTACACAGTTTCTAGACACACATATAGATAGAGTTGAAACGGGGTTAAATGAAGTGGCGATGATTACCGTAGAAGAAATAAAAAACGCATTACAAAAAATGAAAAATAATAAAGCTCCTGGGCCGGGTGATTTACCTATCGAGTTATTCAAACATGCCACTGCAATAACATTAGAATTGCTTTGTAAAATGTTTAACAAGTGCCTACAAGGAGAAAGTATCCCAAGAGATTGGAAAGTCTCGTACATAAACTCCATCTACAAAAAGGGAAACAGGAATGACTGCAGTAATTACCGAGGTATCAGCATTACGCCATCCACTGGCAAACTGTATGAAAGAGTTCTGAAAGCCAGAATAGAAAAAGAAGCCACAGAGATCGAAGAACAAAGTGGATTCCGACCAGGGAGATCTTGTGTCGACAATGTATTTACTCTCAAACATCTAATAGAAAAGAGATTAGCAAGAGGACTAGAACTTCATGCCACTTTTATAGATCTCCGTAAAGCGTTTGACTCCGTACCACTGCAGAGACTATGGACAACATTGGAAAACGCAGGTATAAATGCAGTATATATAAATGCCGTGAAAAAGCTATATCAAGATAACCAAGCTTATATTAAGGTTGGAAACCAAATTTCCAAGGGTTTCACCCAAACAAAGGGTGTCAAACAGGGCTCTTGCCTCTCCCCAACCCTATTTAAAATATATCTTGGTAATGCTTTAAAATATTGGATGAGAAAATGCAGCCCAATGGGCATATGGGTAAATGACACTCCTATATACACAATCCTCTTCGCAGACGACCAGGTAGTTCTTGCCGAGGACCTACAAGATATGACGTACATGATAAACAAACTAATAGACGAATTCAAAAAATGGGGATTAGAGGTTAATACCGAAAAGACACAATACATGAATATAGGAGGCATCGGTCAAGACATGGAAACAGAAAGCGGATTAATTAAAAACGTTGATCAGTACGAATATCTCGGAGTTACACTAAGCGAAGACGGGAGAGACGACAAAGATATAACAAGAAAAATAGGAAAAGGAAAAAACATGATAAAAACACTACATCCGATCCTGTGGAATAAAACTTTAACTAAGAAAACAAAGAAAAATATATATCAGGCTATGATTCAGCCGGTGCTGACGTATGGGTCAGAAGTGTGGGTCTTTAACAAGAATATGTCACAAAAACTCCTCTCAACGGAAATGATGTACTGGAGAAGATGTTCCGGGTTAACTTTGTTTGACCACATAAGAAATGAAAACATAAGAGAGAGAATGGAAGTAAAGAACACAATAATGGATACGATAGCCGAAAAACAATTAAAATGGTATGGACACCTGAGACGGATGAACGAAGAAAGGATACCACGAAAGGTTTGGAACTGGAGACCTACACAGAGAAATAAAAGGGGAAGGCCAAGAAAGAAATGGATATCCAATATTCATATAGAAATGGAAAATAGAGGTCTTCAAGAAGGAGACTGGGCCGATAAGAAATTATGGCGATTGGGATGCGAGAAGCGACAAAATTAAAGTTGCAAACACTCCTATATATATATATATATATATATATATATATATATATATATTATATATATATATATATATATATATATATATACATACATACCAGGCTTGTGCCAACAGAACAAAATATACAAGATTAGAGTTTCTGAAGATTTTGGAACAGCAACTATATGAATCACTTCTTCGAGAACGAGAAATTAACCAACGTCTTCCAAGAGAACTAAGACTCAGCATTCGAAAAGAATAAATCCAACCGGAAATGACGATCATACAGATACCTTACCCAGGAACGTTAAGAAGTACTGCTATTTATGTAACCCAAAATTGAAAAGGAAGACAAGTTTTCTGTGTATACAGTGTAAACAACCGATCTGTTTGCAATGTAGCAAAAAAATGTGTATTTAATGTGTAAATAAGAGTGAAGAAATGTAATCAATCAGCTGGCCAATTTTCAGGACTTGCACAATTTTCTTAGAATAACTTTTTGTATGAAAAATATTATTTATAGAACAGAAATTGTAAGTTTGACAACATGGAACCCCAGGGACTCTACCACGTCGTTTATTGTGTAAAATTAATTCACCACGTTGGTTAAGGGTTAAAAACATTATACCAGCAGAAGTGGTTCTAATTTTTTTAAACAAATTGTATAAATCAATTTCATCTGCCCGTTCAATCATTTTGAATAAAAAAGGTTTATTCTAATTTTTCTCTAAAGTTGATCGTTTTTAACTCATAACAATTTAAAACTGAAAAAAAAAACGAAAAATGATTATTTTTAAGGCCCAAAAACACAATTATTTTTGAATTCACCAAACCTTGTTCTATCAGTTTCTGATACTTTAGTTTGGACTTATTTGATTTTAAAACATTGTTTTGAGTTGTTTGATGCTCTTATCACAACCTAAAAATGGATTTATACAAAACTGTTTCAATAAATTAGGACCACTTTTTGTATGGGCGACCTCTGAGGTATTTTATGAAAGATGCAAAAAATCTCATGGGAATATTTTTCCCAAAGAATTCGAGGTTTTCGTCTCGTATAAACATATTTTGCTGAATTTAAAACCAAAATCCTATTATTATTCTATAAAACATTGATTTATTTGTCCTCTAGATTGTTTTCATATCCATTCATGGAAGACATAGTGAGATGTCTGGAGCAGAAAAACAAAACATATGGACTAAAGCTAAATAGGAGTAAGACAAAGATCATGATAGTAGACAGAGTTCGAAATAATCTTCAACACATTAAAGAAATTGGGGGTTTTGAAGTAGTAAATAGTTTCATATACCTGGGGTCTATGTGTAGGGGGAAATATGTAGAAGGTTGACTATTGGTCGGTTGGCTAAAACAGCTATGATGAAACTAGTAACAATTGGGAAAAATTCTAGCATAACAATACACACAAAACTAAGGCTGGTAAGGGCACCCATTTTTCTCATAACCACATATGCATCCGAAACGTGGACCTTAAAGAAAGCGGATAAAAATAAATTGGAATAAAAATAAATTGAACAACTTAAAGTAAGGGATAGATTGCTTAAACAAATACAACATAGATATTTGCAGTATTTTGGACACATTTCTAAAACAACAGGTACAGTGGAAAAACTGATAGTTGAGGTAAGAGTTGAAATAAAAAGACCTAGAGGAAGATGTCCAAGCCGTTGGTAGATCAAACAAAATATTGATTAACCAAGGGTTACATGAAGCCAAACAACTAAGACAGGACAGGGAAGGATGGAGGGAAATCGTGAAAAAGCTGTAAAGGCGGTGTCACCACATCCCAAAATGGACTACTGAGATTTTTTTCAGTTCTTAAAAGGTTTGTTTATAAGCCAAATTAGTGCAAGGTAAATATTTTACATTTTTACACAGCAATTCTTATCGGTAGTGAAGACGGAAAGTCGTAAATTTTTATTACATCTTTCAATGTGAGATAAAATAAAAATGCGATAACTAACTGGAATGTTTAAGATTACAGAAACGTAATATGTCATGTTTATTGGAAATCTCGATATCATTAGCACATGGAAATCCTACCCTGTCGCCTAATTTCCTATGAAATTAAAATGATGCATGTTTTTAGGGTCCATTTATTTTTCGGGCATGCGTATTTACGAGGTTCACGAGGTTCTGAAATGTTTCTAACGAGGTGAGAAAATATATACACATCTTGTTGATTTTTGGCTTTGGGTTTGTATGAATATCTGATGATAGGAAACAAACGTGAAACCGCAATAGTATTTCAAAACAACGAAACATCAGATGAAATAGTTGACATTGCTCCAGGCAGATTTGCTATGGAGACATACGGCAGGGGAAAACTTAAATAACACAACTTAAATAATACAATTAACTGACTTACCCAAAACCGGGAGTTGGCCGGGCCACATCCTTAGGACAGGTCTTAATCAAAATGTCATTGGCCTCTTTGATGTTCAACTCCTCGAAAATACTAGGAGGGTGGCTGTAAATCGTTTGAAACGCGTTCCTATTATCTTCCGAAAGATCATCCGGCAATAAGGTCAGTCGACGATGAACCTCGTCTTCCAGAGATAATGGATCGTAGTAGTAGTCGCTGTCCGTCATCATATCCAGCACTGTCCGTACCTGGGAGGCTGCAGACGGATTCAAATAGTAGAAGATCACGGGCAAGGAACTGTTGAAGCTGACCAATACTTTGACGGTGTCGCATTTTCCGAACGTGATTGTTTTTACGCCTTTTTCCTTGTGTGGATGCGGAACCTTTATGGTTACCGCTTCCGAATCTATTACGATCTGAAAAAAAAAAACATGGCACAGTGTTATTTCTAACAAGTATCATATAAATTAACTGAAATACTAAGTAAATACTTGTGCCACTTACATCTTCTAAAGGAATACATCTGTAGGAGCCAATGCGAACGGTCCTGCATTTTACTTTTGTCCGGACGATTTCTTTTTCAGCTATCGATTTGGTCGGACCTATAAAAAATCAGATACAAACGTATTTACTAATCGGTTTGATTAAAAATGAGTGTGATTAACGTTGCAAATAAACAAAGATATACATACCATCATTTTTTGATAAATGTCTTTGAATGTCTGCTAGTGAAGGTTCCTTAGATTTCGGACTGATAGTTACAGAATTGCCCAGTTTCTGCAAAAGGTTTTCACTCTGTAACAAGTAAAATACATATAACTCTGTAGCATACGGAGCTGAAACATAGATACTCGTACAGAATGACTTACAATTTCTTAAGTGTTTCATGTGAAAGATTATAAGAAATGGAGGACTAAATGAGCAGAATTTGTGTCATAGAAGATACAACTTTAGAGTTATATACAAGCTTCAGGAAAGCTGACGTGAAATTCATTGGATTGGACATGTAATGGTGAGAAAAGTATTCGACTGAAGAGGACCAGTGGGAAGATACTAGAAGTAAACTGAAATTTAGGTACCTGGACAACTTGAAAGGACAGAGAAGAGTTGCTAAAGATAGGGACAGAATGAGGGAATATTCCAAAAACGGTTTTGACTCAAAAGGCTGTAGTGCCCATGGAGATAACAAGCACAATTCACCAATAATAAATACAGGAAAAAAGAACAACAAAATATCTGGAAAGCAGTTGACTAAACGTGAATATTTCTCCTCCTTATCATGCACCATATAAAGACAGTTGCGGCAACAAATTCTAAATAAAAACTCCTCAGAGAATAGAACAATATGTTCTAATGCCCCATAACTAAAGTCGGTCAACTCAACATGAAAATGTTATAGACCTTCACTCTTGAGGTTGTTCAGAGTCAAGATCCATAACGAAGAATATGAATTCCTTCAGACCACATGGATCAACACTTATTAATACAATAATATTATATTAAACAAGGCACTACTAACACCACCAATAATATACTGGAAACTTACAAGTTTGGGAGATTCTTCTTCTTCCTCATCGGAGCTAATGACGTGGACACTGTCTTCGAGTGTTTTAGATCTGGTCGCTTTCTTCTTTTGGGGAGATGGAATTTTTGGTGCAGCGGCCGCTGAAACGACATAAAAATACATTAAAAAAATAAACTCCAGCTTCACAACTAAGTTAAATCTAAGAATGATCCCAATGATACTTTATGCAATATTAATAGATGTGTTCTTTATATAACATATTGAAACAGTGACCCATACAGCAGTGTAATTTTATTCCATTCTTGATTTTTTTTGTGTATTGTAAGGTAAGATATACTATACACCTTCGTTTGTAAAAACTTGACACTTTAATGCAAGCATTTGTTTGTAAATATAATTCTTCTTTCTCCACAGCTTTTCTCTTTTCAGGAATTCCTTACTCTTCTTTGCCACTCAGTTTTATTCAATGTATCTTCTTCATTTAAACCTTTCTCTCACAAGTCCTCTAAGGACAGTCCTTTCATCTTGTCTTCAGTTTTCCTCTACCTTTTTCCCTCAACTTACTTACTTTACCTGTCCAGTACAAACAATTAAATCTTCAATGAGTCCATCCACAAAAGAGGGCCTGAATGGATGTGTCAAGTTGTGTGCAAGAAATCGTGTTCAGTACAAGGTTTCTCTAGATGATTGAGAGTCCTCCCCACAGATAAAAGTTCCTCTTGGGGATTCAGAGGGAGAGGAACAGCTTCTTTCCATTTGGCAAGATGAGTTCTTTCTAATATATCCTTCAGATGTGTTGATTTGATCAGAAAACTTTTTCTCAATTTGAGTCTTTTCGCAGTAGACCAAAGTGGATCTGGAGCATATAAATGAAAGTCCTAGTATATATTTGGTTGTTTGTGTAAATGATATACAGTGTATCTGTATGTGCCATCCATTCTCCATCTACTATTCTATCTCTATTGAGAAATACAAACAAAATTCTGTTCTATAGGAAGAAATGGATAAGACAAGTGAGTTTACTGTCTATATAGTTTTTGGAGAAGTATCCTGTGATTTATGGTGTCAAGCAATAGTAAGATCTACCAAAACGCACCAGATAACTGTACCTATAGTGCCCATCTTTGATGTGCTGGGTAAAATTTAGTATTTATGATGTACATGATCTTCCCAGTCTAAAACCACCTTGTTTTTATGAGTTTTCCTCTATTCTGGATGAAATTCTATGAAGGATCATATGCTTAAGTATTTTGAATAGGTGACAAAGCAAAGATATTGGTAGATATTTCCCTAAACTTCTAACAGCTCTATGCTTCATCTCACATAGTTCTCATTTAATGCCTGACATTAAGCCACCCCAACTCTTTCCATAATCATGTTATTTCTGATCTTGCATGTTTAATATTTTCATTTCAGCTGCCTACACTGCCAAATTAGACGAGAACTTACCAGGCTATCAAAACCCTTAGCAATTGAAGATTTTAGACAAAGTTATCTATAATTTTTTATTCTTTCTCTACCCAGATTTAATAACTGGCCTAATATAACTTTCTTTCCATGTAACAGGAAAGATACCTGTAAAACTGGCATTAAATGTCTCAAACAATGACCAGGATAATTATCAGACACATTTTCAATAATATATTGAGGACACTATCAAGATTTAAGGTTTGATAGGAAGAAGAGAAAATTTATCATATATTCCTATTAAGGTTTATTTTGAATACATTATTATATAGATTATCATTTGTTAACACATTTGAAACTGGATTAGCTAGCTTCTTTGAATATAATGTAGATAATTTTCCAAAGATATCCACAGTCTCACTGCCATTACAAGTTTTTATAATACATATCATTAGACGAATACACCTAAAAAAGTTTCTTCTGCTTGACAGGAGATTTCTATTAACAGATGCAATATACTGATTGTAACCTCCAAAGTTTCTTTGGCTTGATAGGAGATTTCTACGGGCAGATGCAATATACTAATTGTAACATTAATTAGTTTATATTTCTAAAATATTTATATTTCTTGTATGGAATAAATTGGTTAATACAATACAGTTCTTATCTTGCTGTGATTATTGTGTTCACATGATTGATGACATGAAACCACACAAACAGAAAACAAATAAGCAGAATGAGACTGAATAAAAGATTGAAGAGATTATGAGAATATTATAAGATAGGAAAAGTAATAAAGAAGTTGCAGAGAAGCTGGGATAAATGAATGCATCATATGAAAAAGATTAAAACCTGTAAGTAGGGTGTTTATATTATATTTTATTATATATTAATTTTTAATGTGAATTGTTTATAGGTTTTGACAGATCCTTGGTTAAAAATAAATCAATTGTTATTATTATTAATTATATTTTACTACTTCCAAAAGCTAGGGTGAGATAGCAAAAGGCAAAAAAACTTTCACGGCAGTGTGAAGTTTCATGTTCTTTGTTCAAAAAAATGTTACAACAAAAAATACAGAAAACAGGAAAACTATATAGAAAAGGCTACAAGAGTGACAGAAAAAGCTCAAAAAATAAAGTTAAAAGACAATGTAAATGAAGAAGTATCAATAAAAGCTAAGTCACAACAAAACTAGCATTTGACATCAACAATCCCTAAACATCAATGAGCTCTAACCAAACTATTAATATACCTACTGAAGAAGAACAAAAGAAGACTTATATGCCTAGGATGTGAACAGTTGTTTAATGGTAGTAGGATCCGACATGAGAATTACAAGGAACAGTGGCATGAGACCTGTTCAGTGTATAAAGTATATAGTTTATTTGTAACAATGGGTTTCTGGTGTATACTCTTCACCACCATGAAGCTCAAGGGTACACAAATGAAATTTTTGTATTACAATTTTAGAATGGTGAGAAATTTTGAGGTAGAAAAAATGTTATTGAGAGATTTTGAGTATTTATCTTTTTTCAACATTGTAAAACAGTTCTTGATCAACTAAGTACATTCCCTTACCTCCTTTACCCTACGATCAGTGGTAGATATGTTTTTCAAATAGCCCTCTTCACTAAGATCTGATAAAATAGCATAACATGAAGTTCACTGTTTTTTTTTCACTATCTCACTTAAAGCTCCAATTCTAATAGTTTCTACCTCTTGAACCTTCTTCTAAGTTGTGTATTATTAGCGAGCTAGTGCCTCTTCACTAAGGTGCTAGTAGAGTAATTTCTTGTGCTTTATTGTGTACCTCCTGATCTCTTCTTGAGTTGTTGGAACTGTCAGACCATTGACTGTCTCTACATTGCGAAAGATCCACTTGTTTTAGAATAATTGTATAATTTTAATAATACCTTTAGCTGCACACCCCCATAGTTGTATGTCATAGTAACCCCAAGTATATTTACACTAAGTCTATATTGATCACTTGGATTTTCTTAAAGCAAGTAATAAATTTATCTACCTTTGAGGACAAGGACATTCTTGTCTTTTTTTATTTGTTATCTTACAATTTTTGAGTTTCTTATACCTGTTTTTGTTGCTTTAACACTCCTAGTTCCATCACCCAAAATATCTTCAAATTTGACTTTGGTATACTTTTTCAAAATTCCAAAAAATCTTCGCATTTTTAACATATAACCTTTTTAATTATCATGTTTTAAATATATTAAATTTGCGATACATATAATACTATTGATAAGAGAAATTGTTCACCAAAACATAAAACTGAGTCACCTGAGAAACCAGATTCGCATTTACAATTTACATTTACAAAGTAAATTCAGAACTAGTTCAGAACCGATTCTGGATCATGAACAAAATGTAGTGCTTTGGAATGGTTTTTATTGCTAATAATACTCAGAAATCTATGGAATTTCTTTAAATACATATATATTTTTTAAATTATTCAAGTTATTAACACCGAATAATGTGTTTTTGTTCAATATAAATAAAAAACATTATAAAAACGAGTATTAATATCCTCGCCATACAAAACACTCGACACCCATGACCGCGATCGATAACAAACATAACCTTCAATAAAAAAAAAACATTTTTAAGGTTAACAAGAACGCTCCCCTAATTTTAATTTTGCAATTCATCGTTTGAGATTTTTATTGTTAAAAATATATCAACGAGAATTCTTCAGGACACAAGAAAAACATGGATTCGTATGTAAAAGAAAATCACATAAATATTGCCGTTAACATACCTGCTCTGTCTGATAGTAAGTTGATCTTGATTAACATGCCACATTTGCGGAGAGTATATTATTTTTTGCTTTAAATGAACGTGAATATAAATAAACACTAAAAACACCTTCCACTTTTAATGGTTTGTTGGAACCTGCTCTTGATTTACATGAATTACATGGTGACATTGACGTAAGAATTCTAAAACGAAGATAGTCGATCCCGCGTATTCACCTATACAGTGCAGTACTAGAGAAAGGGCAAAAGTAGTAAAAAAATATGCAAAATTAATTTTTTGGGTTTTGGAAACTCAAACAGAAAATGGAAATAAAGTGAAACGGAAAAAAAAACTAAATACAATTTCAGAAAAACATCTTCAGCAATCATATTTATATAAGAAAATGTGTTAAAAAGGTTGAATTTTTGTTGGACTTTAAAAAGAAGTGTCAAAAAGCTTAAATCTGAAATTTTTTGATGCAAACTAGTACCAGTGTTAAAAAACAACAAAATAAGTATTATAAAATTGTAAAAAATTCAAACATAAGACATTTTTACCTGAAAGGCTGACAAACATATACGAAATTATATTGTTATAATTTTAACAACTATCAATAATTTTTACTGATACATTGTGCAAGAATCCAAAATATAATTTTAAAATTGCTTCCTCCTCCTCCTCAGTCGTTCCCTCATTGCTGAGTGTCGTGATTCCCTACAATACGAGCCACTATCTCTTTCCATCGGCTTCTGTCCTGAGCTTCCCTCATGGATTCTGAAAATGTTTTTCCACTGGCTTTCTGTACCTGATCCGTCCATCGAATAGGTGAGCGACCTCTACTTCTGCGCCCTTCAACGTTTCCCGAAATTATAAGTCTCTCAAGATTATCATCACTTCTTCTTGCAATATGGCCGAAAAATTTTAAGACGGTGGAGAGGCAAATAGACGAAAGTCGAGTCTGAATATTAAGCTCTTGGAGGATTGAGTGATTTGTTCTGTGTTCCGTCCATGAGATCCGAAGCATTCTTCTCCAGCACCACATTTCAAAAGCGTCAATCCTTTTTCTGTCGTCCGATTTGATTGTCCATGTTTCGGATCCGTAACTAAATATGGGAAAAATTAATGCACGTACTAATCTTATTTTGGTGTTCTTCGACAAGGCGCGATCTTTCCAGATTTTTGATAATCGACTCATAGCGTTTTTAGCCATGCCTATTCTCCTACGTATTTCTGTTTCACAAGATCCTGTATTATTGATGTAGGATCCTAGATAATTGAACTCGTTAACCACTTCAAACTGGTCCAAGGCTCTGTTGTCTGAAGTGAATTTGAATAGTCTACTATCATAATTGCAAAATTTGCTTAAATTTGTTCAAATCCGAAAAAAAAATGTGGCATAAAAAAATGAAAAAGAAAGTATAAAAAAAATAAATGAATAGTATTAGTCACTTACCCGAAGAAATCTTCTGTTGTTGTTGCCCCTGTTGTGTCTGTTGTTGTGTCTGTTGTTGCTGCTGCTGTTGTTGTAGCTGCATCGCCTGGTGTTTTTGTTGTTGCGCTGCGGCGACTGCTGCAATATCCCGTTTTTGCCCGGAGTTCGTACTCCTAGGGTCAGGCACGGCTTTCACTGTATCTGGTAGCTTCCTAAGACATCTCTGACATTTGTTGAAATCCTCGGATAAGAAGCCGCAACCCACACATACCGCCAGCATGCCTGAAATACGACACCAATTGGCATAATTTTTTTACTACAACTAAATATTTACTTACCTTTGATAAGCTTAGGGGTTTCCTTCACTGGCGCTGGTACTGGAGACTTTGGTTGTTCTGGTGGTTTTTGTTGTGTGGTTTGCTGTGTGGTTTGTTGTGTGGTTTGTTGTGTGGTTTGTTGTGTGTTTTGTTGAGTGGTTTGTTGTGTAGATGAGGATACAGCTTTTGCAGTAGGGACGTTGGGCGCAGAATTGGCAACTGGCTCAACCTGTAGTTGATATTGATTTTCTTGTATGTGTACGGGTGTAGCCTCCTGTGACAATGAGTCAGTTGCAGCATCCAGCTGTAATTTACAAGTTTATTATATATTATATATATGGTATTGATGAAATATTACCCCAAATCGAGATTTAGCCAGAATTCCAACAGTCACAATATAATTAATGCCTTCAGAATTCGTTTCTGTAACTTCTATGTTGGTGTCTACGTTGAAAGGGACGTTAACTTGTTCCAAAATTTCTTGAATGGTGCACGCTTCTTTGGGTAACGTAAACGTTATGAGTCTTTGTTCTCCGTTTTCTAGTAGTACAAGCATTCTAATCGAATCTGCGAATTCTTCGCTAAGTGGTGTTTCTTCTAAAAACAAAATAAAAAATTGTCTCAGGCTCTTTTGTTCTTCGATATTATTAAAATACTAAGATTTGATGTAGCAACTATAAATGGCAATGAGATAGAACAAGTGCAAGAATATATCTATGTAGGCCAAATCCTGAAACTTGACAAAGAGAATCAAAGTGAAAGAAATCACTAGAAGAGTAAGACTACCATGCGCAGGATTTGTAAAACTCAGTTCTATACTTAAGAACCGCAAAATACTTCAATACTTAAGAAGCAAACTACAACAGAAAGGGTAATGTTAAGGACATGACTATCAGATAGAACGAGGAACAACTGGGTAAGATCAAAAACAAAAGTCGAATAAAAATTGCCAAACTCAAATTGAGCTTCACAAATCATACTGCTAGATAAAAAACCAACATTGGAATGCCACAAACAGTGGAGACCTTACAAAGGTAGACGATCAAGAGGAAGACCATAGATGAGATGGGTAGATGACATAAAAAAATAACCGGAATAAATGTATAGACGTATGTCACTCAGGATAGAGATCGATAGAAGGAGTTAAGATGTCAAAAAATGGAGGATGTCGAAAAATCCAGAAACAAATCAGCAATCGACGTAATGGAAACACTCAGATTCTGCAAAGACAAAGAAATTTTGCTAGTAAAGTCTTGCTCAAGTTTTTTGCCAAGCAGTAATCACGATTAACTTTCCGGATAAGAGTAGATCAATAACTGAAAATTACTATGAACTTAGGCTTAGATTTTGCAGTAGCATGGTATTTGGCTGTCATTAGTACGTTCTTTGGGAAGACTGAAGACCAGTATGTTACTTGTAGTAGCGGGGGAAGAGAAAGACAGATAGATTTTGTGCTGTGTAGCAGAAGTCAGCTAAAAAAGGTAACGAACGGTTAAGTGATGTATGTAGAGTGTGTAGCTAGTCAACACCTACTGGTGATAGTGGATATAGAGATAAAGGAAAGCACATAGGTCACCAGAAAATAAAGTGGTGGACGTTAAGGGATAAGGATTTGGCAAAAGTCTTTAAGAGTAGAGTGCTGGAAGAGCTTGAGGAAAAAGATACAGTAAATGACTGGTTGGAAACCAACAGTAAAGTTGTGACGTACGTGGGAGAGGAAGTGCTAGGAAACACAGCTGGTAAAGGGCGTCCTAGAGACAAAGAATCTTGGTGGTGAAACGATGAGGTGCAACAGAAGGCTTGAGAGAAGAAAGAGGGAAAGAGGTATGACAGATCTAAAAAAGATAAAGGTGGCAAAGACGAAAGCAAAGCGCGCTGTAGCACTGCTAAGAAAAGATTGTCTGCACAGCTGTATGAAGAGTTGGAAACACCCGAGGGGATAAAAAGATTATACAGTATTGCTAAAGCAAGGGGCAAATCATCAAAGGACTTATGGAGGCTCTAGGAGAGGAAGGGGTTGATATTTTGTGGCAAATGAGTAGGATATATGAGGAAAAAATTATGCCCAATGAGAGAGACATTGATAAAAGAAGAACAGTTTGGGTTTATGCCAGAAAGGAAAACAACGGACGTCTTGTTTGCGTTGACAAAGTTAATAAAGAAATACAGCGAGAAGAAGTGAGAACTACATTTGATATTTATAGATCTTGAGAAGGCGTACGACACAGTTTCTAGACAAGAGCTATGGAGATGTATGAAAGAGAAATGAATTCCTGAGAAGCAGATAAGGCTCTTGAAGGATATGTATGAGGAAGCATACTATCCGACAAGCGAGAGCTGGTGGGTTGCGCGTAGACCAAATTGAATTTTTTTTATTTGGAGTGGCCCTATATTATAAACTATTATTTATATTTATTAAAATGGCAAGTGTATTAAAGGGCAAACCTTTGTGATGTCAGCACGACAAATAATTTTTAATGTTTTTAAGTTTACAACCGAAGAACCTAATGCAAATAAAGTTTTAGTTGATATAAAAAAGATACAAGAACGTGTAGCTCACTTAACTGGTAATTATAATACTCATTTTCAAAATAAATTCAGATTTAAATAAGTTGATTGCTCAAATGAAATGGAGCTGGTGGGCAGAGAAATACCCATAAAAACAATGGCTACACGACATCAAAGCAAAAGTTGGGAAAAACTTGAATCAAATAGCACGAGACAGAGATGAGTGGAGAAATCATGGATAGGCCTTTGCCTAGATTGGATGCAAACAGGCCAAAAAAAAAAATTCATGGTTTGGGGTTCAAATTATCCGAACACGTCTCTTATTAACCACATCTAGCATTGTCCACTTTATTGTGTCTCTGATTGAAAAAAGTCTGAAAAGTAAACTTTCTTTTCTGAAAAGCTTATGAACAAGATAAAAAATATTTTTTGAAAGGTCTAGAGGCATGCCAGGTTCGTTATAATAGATATACCCAATTAAGAGGTGAATATGTTTAATAACAAAACATTTTGACTTACAAACTTCGTTTGATTCTATAGTAGGCTACGAATTTTCAATTCACCTTTGTGTATGAGCACTAAATCCAGCTCCTAACTGAATTACATATTTAAGATTATCAAAGACTTTTAAAATTATGGACTTACCTATTATTCTCTGAATGTGACTAGACGGTACGAAAGAAGGTAGAGGCCGTTGATTCGCCGGCTTCTGGTTCAATTTCGGAGGTTGAATTACAAAATTCGCCATCGACTGTTTGGGTCTAGCTTGCTGATTCTGTTGCATCTGAGCAGGACTAGAAGATTGTTGGTGCTGCTGCTGCTGTTGCTGTTGTTGTTGCTGCGGCTGCCTCGCAGCTTGTTGCAGTTGTTGAGGCTGCATTTGAGCCTGTTGTTGCTGTTGCGATGGCTGCATTTGATTCTGTTGTTGGTGTTGCGAGGGATGCAGCTGGGTTTGTTGTTGCTTTTGTTGAGGCTGTACAGGAACTTGCTGCTGTATCTGAGATTGTTGTTGCGACAACGACGCAAGCACAGGGAGCTAAAGATATTACAGAATATTTTCTTGTGGCGTTTTAATGTTATTCACTATCTTTAATGAGACGTAACAATAATTTCAGTTGAAAATACGTTCATTTTGGCGCCCAACGTGGGGCATTAACTTTTGTTTTTTTATTGGAACTAAAACTATTTTCCTCCTGCATTTCTATGCTATCTACAATATTTAAAGCGAATTAACTTCAAAATTTTATTTAAAAAACGTTTATTTTGAAGTTTTCTGAGGCAATTTTCGAAAAACAAAAATAAATGTAATTTCAACTAAAATTTTGGTTAACTTAATGCTAGTTTGACTAACATCAAACCTAATACTATTGTTTTTGAGTATTAAACTATTAAACACTTATTTCTACGCTTACCTGATTTGAAAACTGTTGTTGTTGGGGCTTATTCACGTTCTGTTGTTGACTTAACATAGAAAAATGACCTGGGCTATTCGACTGTTGTTGCTGCTGTTGCTGATTGGCTTGAGCCGCAGCTCCTCTCGCTCGAGGAGTTTTCGGAGTCTTTGGCTGTTGAGAACGAGGTACACGCGGAGAAGGGTTCCTCTTCTTGGGTGTCGCTGGAGGCTTATTAGGAGTGTTAACGGCTCTACGCGATACTACTAAGTTATTGTTTTGCGGTATTAAAAGAGACGACTGTGATATAGGGTTGGTAGACTGGAGAGAACTATTGGACTGTAGAGGGCTGTTTTGTTGTTGAAGATTCGGAGCTTGATGGATTTGGTTGCTTTGTTGACTGAGTTGTTGTCTATATAAAGCAATTATTATATTATGTAATATAGCTCAAAACTACGTAAATATGGTTCAATTAAAGTAATTTTATATATTTTTTACGTTTATCTGAAAAAAAAATATAGAAAATAATTGTAGACTTACTTTGAGGGAGTGCTTCGCGCCTTTTGATCTGCCAACATCTTTTTATATGACGTCATAGAGACTACAGTACCATCAGGTAAAGATACAGCTTCCTGATCCTCATTTTTCTAAAAATTATTTTTATGCAAATGACTGATGAAAAATTACAAAAAAATGTTATTAAATAAATCATAAATAAGACTCAAAAACCTTCTGCTTCCTGAAAACAACTGTCTAAATATTTGGCGATTAAACGTTAATCTTTTTATTGTTAATAAATGGCTTGATTTTTTAATATGTACGAGAGAGATCTCGTCTATCCAACACGACAAACACCCAATATGAGGCTGGGTCTCAATAGACCGAAGAAAACTATGAGTTTATAAAACCGATAATTTCAAGGGAAATAAGGTGTCAGAAAACAATCGTATCGACTGCCTAATAGTCACATTGTTTTGAGCCTTAGAACTCTCAGAACTACACTGCAAGTCACGAAAAAGAGTTTTTTCGTGACAAAAAATTTTTGCTATTTTTTAATTTTTAAGAATCATACCACAAAGTGAATGTCAGTAGATGTTTGTGGAATGTTTGAGAATATATTCTATATCAGTATGTAATTATTTTTTAAATAACAAATGTCAAAAAATAACTTCTTCCAAAATAATGATTTTATTGAAAAATAAAAAAAAATTAATATTGTATATTTTTTCTGTTTTCTTTATAAAATTACAATTAAGTAGTGATTATTAATACTATGTATTACCACCTCTATTGTAAATTATACTCCTCATTCGATTTGGCATCGAATTGATCAAATTCTGGATGTCCTTTTTAGGAAAAGTTTCCAATTCTTCCATGAGCGCCAACCGTAGCTGCTCACGATTTATTGGAGCAGGTATTCTGTTTCTTACCCTTCGTTTGAGTTTGTCCCAAACATGTTCAATCGGGTTCTAATCTGGACTTTGAGCCGGCCAACTCATTTTTGACACACCGACAGTTTCCAGATATTGCGTTACCATCCTAGCTACGTGTGGCCACGCGTTGTCTTGCATAAAAATAAAGTTTTTGCCGACAAACCAAGCAAAAGACATTACATGCTTTGTATTCAACGCTCCTCTATCAATAAATACGAGATCAGTACGGCCCTCGAATGAAATGCCCGCCCAAAACATTACCGAAGCTCCTCCAAAAGCAACACTTTTTTTGGTCTGTTTTCCCACATACCATGACCTTGGTTTTACTTTCATTAACTCTCAGATTACGTTTTTCAAGTTTATCTCTCCATATTTGGAGGTTTCTCTTAAGTGTGTCCTCATTTCTTCCAAATACGACGAGGTCATCTGCAAATGCGCACTCTGCTATCTGTATCATTTCCAGGTTTCTATGCCCAACAAATATTCTCGATGTTTCATCTCTAGTTTCCTTCATTACTATTGGAATTTGTACTTGGCAACACTGGCTCACAATGTCTTAAGTGATTCCGGTTGTCATATGTCAGTTGTAAAATATATTTTGTAGAATGTAGCACATGTTTAGTTTTTAGTACTTTTGTAAAATAAAGTAATCAAATAATTCACTGCTATCTCTGTATTACCTCACTGGGAAACAACAAATTCTAATAGGTTATGGGCACCCAGACAGACAAAAAATAAAGAAGCATAAAAGAAAGTGTGAAATATAAAATGGCTAATGCAATAGTCAATGTTCCTCAGCTGACAAATGCTACAAATTTTAACAATTGGAAATTCAGAGTAACCATACTACTGGAAGAAAGACAATTATTAGATGTATTGGAGAAAACTGAGCAAGACTACAGTGAACCAAAAGAGAAAGCAGAGTTTAAACTAAAAGATTCCAAAGGTAAAAGTATCATAGTACAATGTTTAACAGACAAACACTTGGATTTAGTTAAAGATGCAAATACCACAAAAGAAATGGTTAAAGCCCTAGAGAATATATTTGAGAGAAAAAGTGTGTTTACAAAATTAACATTGAAACGTAAATTGTTAACATTGAAGCTGAAAAGAAATGAAAAATTAGAAGATCATTTTCTGTTGTTTGATACCCTTATAAGAGATTTAGAAAATGCTGGTTCAAAACTAGAAGAAGAAGACAAAGTATGCCATTTATTACTATCATTAAATGAAGAGTATGAATCAGTCATCACAGCTATAGAAACAATGAATACAACTATTAAAATGGACTTTGTAAAATCCAGACTATTAGATGAAGAAATGAAACTTAAATCAAAACAAGGTAAACCAGCTAATATTAATGAAATGTCATTTCAAGCCAATCAGCCAATAATTTGTTATAAATGTCACAAACCAGGACATAAGATATCAGAGTGTCGCCAATTCAAAAGTGGGAATAGAGGTCACAATCCAAGAGGCAACTTTCAAGGGCATTCAAGAAGTACATATATACAAAGTGGTACAAATCATAGTAGACGAAATCAAGGTGGTAAGCAATCACAGGTGAATCAAGCAAATGAATTAGCCTTCATTGCATTAAGTGGTGTAACTACGTGTAACATATCTACTCTCAATGTACAGACATTCATTCTGGATTCTGGATGTACACAACACATGGTAATGGAAGAAATGGTTGAATATATGGTAGATGTAAAACAAATCAACACAGTGAAAATTGGAACTGCAAAGAATGGTGAGGTATTGATAGCAAATAAGGTAGGTACAGTAAAAGCTACATGTCAAGGACGAGATATTAAAATAGAAGCACTTATTGTTAAAGGTATATCACATAACCTCATTTCTGTATCTAAATTATTAGAAAAAGGTTTTAAAGTAACATTTGTTAATGATATTAATGGTAAAAGACAAGCTATAATAAATAAAAATGGATCAAAATTTCAATGTGAAATGTTGAATCATTTATTTTGTTTAAAGGTAGATTTTGTTAATAATAAATATAATTATTGTAATGAGACAAACCATATAGTAAGTTATGTAAATGAGACTATAGATGATAATTTATGGCATAGGAGATTAGGACACATAAATAGGCACAATTTAAAAATATTAGGACTACCTTATAGTTCAGAAATTTGTAAAGATTGTATGGAAGGTAAAAGTACTCGTAAACCATTTTATAAATGTTTTAAATACACAACAAAAATTGGTCAGTTGATACACTCAGATATTTCAGGTCCAATATCTACACCAACATCTGAAGGTTATAAATACTTTCAAGTATTAATAGATGATTACTCACATTTTTTAGTAGTAAGATTATTAAAAAATAAACATGAAGCTGATCAAAATATTATTCAGTTTATTAAGTTAATTAAAACTCAGCATAATCTAAAAACGCAAAGAATTAGAGTTGATAATGGTGGTGAATTTACATCTAATGCATTTAGAGATTTTTGTAAAAATAAAGGTATTAAAGTGGAATATACAATGCCATATACTCCACAAGAAAATGGGATTTCAGAGAGAATGAACAGAAGCTTATTAGACAAAGTAAGGACCAAATTTGCTGAAACTAATCTACCAAGAGAGTTATGGGGGGAAGCAATTCTGTGCTCAGCATATGAATTAAATAGAACACCTACTAAAGCAAACAATGGTGAAACACCTGCCACAAGATGGTACCATAAAAATGATTTATCAAAAATGAAAGTATTTGGAAGTAAGGCATGGGCAATAGTCTTACCAAAACAAAGCAAATTAGAAAGAAGGGCACAACCTTGCATAATGATAGGATATACAGGAGCTGGATATAGATTGTGGAATTATGAAACTAATGAAATTTTTTGTTCAAGAGATGTGAGATTTGATGAAACTTTAACTAATTATGATGAAATCACTAAGACCAATATGATGGATGATACAAATAAGAAAACAATAGAAGTACAGTATGAAAATGAACTGCAAGGGGGAATAAATGATATAGAGATAGAAATTCAAGATGATGATTTAAATGAAGCTAATGAAGATGAAACGGAGAATATAAGTTCAGAAAATTATGAAGAATGCATGCCAAAGATAGAAACAACAAAAACAGGAAGAAAAATAAAAGCACCCAAATATTTAAGTGAATATGAGACTTATACAGCTTATTGTTTAATATCAACAGAAGAAAATGATCCTTTATGCTATGAAGATGCCATAAAAGATCCTGAATGGGTAGAATCCATAAGAAAAGAGCTACTTTCACATGAAAAGCTAAGTACATGGGCAGAAGTAGAATTACCTAAACATAAAAAAGCTATTCAAACAAAATGGGTTTTTAGAACAAAGGATGATGGAACTAAAAAAGCCAGAATAGTAGCCAAAGGTTTTCAAATTAAGGAGGAGAGTGAATTTGAACCAAATTACTCACCAGTAGCAAGAACATCAACAATTAAACTATTTTTATCAATAGCATTACAAAATGATTGGAAAATCAGACAAATGGATATTCCAACTGCATTTTTAAATGGATTACTTGAGAATGATGTCTATATTTATGCACCAGAAGGACTTACGATAAAAAACTCAAGAGTATTAAAATTGAATAGAGCTTTATACGGCTTAAAAGAATCATCAAAGGTATGGAATAATACATTCAATGAATTTGTTAGTCAAAATAATTTTGAAAGATCTATGTATGATTGTTGTTTATACAATAACAAAAAGGTTTGGATATTAATATATGTAGATGATATATTATTAATAGGAGAAGATAATGATGTTCAATGTATTATAAAATTATTACAAGATAATTTTCAGGCAAAAGATTTAAAGGAAGTTAAAAATTTTTTAGGTATGAATATTACTAGGACAGAAGATACTATTAAAATTGATCAAGAAAGATTTATAGAAAAACTTTTGGATCATTTTAATATGAAGGAATGTAAACCAAAGAAGACTCCAATGGAAAAGGGATTTCAATACATTGAGGACAGTGAAATTCTAACTAATATTCCTTACAGGCAATTAATTGGAGGACTGATGTATTTATCAACAACAAGTAGGCCAGACATTAGTTATGCAGTGTCATACTTGAGTAGATTTTTAGATTGTCCTACTACAGAGACATGGAATGCTGGAAAAAGAATTTTAAGATATCTACAAGGAAGTAAGAAACTGGGATTAACTTATTATAAAAATACAGATTGCCAGATAACACTCAATGGATATTCAGATGCCGATTGGGCAACAGATAAGAAAGATAGGAAAAGTGTGAGTGGATGTATATTATTATATGGTAATAACCCAATATCATGGTTTTCAAAGAAACAAAACTGTGTGGCATTATCAACAGCTGAAGCTGAATACATTGCAGCAGCACAAACCGCTCAAGACTTAATCAATGTCAAGGGTATACTGGGAAATTTTAATGTAACTGTTAAAACAATTTTATACTGTGACAATAAAAGTACAATTTTAATGTCTAACAGTAATGAAAATTCGAAAAGAGCAAAACATATAGATATAAAAAATCATTTTTTAAAAGACTTAATTTCTAAGAAAGAAGTTGTAATGGATTATATATCAACTGAGCAAAATTTAGCTGATATTTTAACTAAATCTTTAGGTACCGAGACTTTCATAAATCTAAGAAATAAAATTTATGTTATATGAATTGTAATATCATTTTGTTAATTATAATAGTTACGATTTTCATGTTCCAACATTTCAAATCGAGGAGGAGTATTGGAATTTTGTACTTGGCAACACTGGCTCACAATGTCATAAGTGATTCCGGTTGTCATATGTCAGTTGTAAAATATATTTTGTAGAATGTAGCACATGTTTAGTTTTTAGTACTTTTGTAAAATAAAGTAATCAAATAATTCACTGCTATCTCTGTATTACCTCACTGGGAAACAACAAATTCTAATAATTACATCATCTAGTACAATATTAAACAGGATGGGGCCTAGTACACCTCCTTGTTGTAAGCCATCATTGACTCTAAACTCTTCTGATTCCATATTATCTGTTCTTACTCTGTTTCTTGTGTTCTGGTATAGGCTCATAATAGCTTTTCTGAGTTTGCTGTCTACTTCTCTGTTTCTTAGGTTTTTCTCTATTTCGGTTCGCGGGGTTCTATCAAATGCTTTTTCCAGGTCTATGAAGGCTTGGTATAGTTCCGTGCTTGCATTTCTTGCTTTTTGTATTAGATGCTTGAGTGTAAAAATGTGGTCATGGATACTTCTTCCCTTCCTGTAACCGCTCTGTGACTGCTCCAGCTTATGGTCTACTTCTTGTTGTAGTCTTTTCTCCAGTACTCGTTCGTAAAGTTTGGAAGGGATACTCAGGAGAGTTATACCTCTGTAGTTGCTGCATTCTCGTTTGTCACCTTTTTTGAAAATGGGTAGAATAACGCCAACTTCCCAGTCTTTTGGGATCTTGTTCTTATTCCATGCTTTATTGCAAACTTTTCTAAGCATTTCATTTCCATTTTCTCCCATATTTTTTAGCATTTCCGCAGTTATCTTATCATAACCAGCTGCCTTTTCTCTTTTGAGCCTGAGTATTATTTCTCTTATTTCTTCTATTGTTATTTCGTTTTGGTTTGGGTTCTTAGATGGGTTTTCTATTTCATTATTATAGTCTTTTTGAGTCAGGTCTTAGAAATGACTTAAAAAAACGAACAAGCAGAATTACTGACAGTAAATGGACCAAAATTACTACTAGCATACGCAGATGACATTGATATTGTGGTAAATACAGTCACCAATGTGAAGGAGACTTTAATAAATTGGAGGTAGAGGCAAAGAAAACTGGTTTAAGGGTAAACGAAGAGAAAACCAAATATATGTACATCAACAGACAAAAGGGATGAGATAGAATAGGACAAAATGTTGCAATATACCCATATACCTTTGAAAGAGTGGATAGTAGAGTAAATATCTCGGAGCAACAATCACTGCAGATAACGATATCGCGGAAGAGATTAAAGGAAGTATTCAGGCAGCAAACAGATGTATGTACAGCATCCAGAATACTATTAAATCTAAAAGCCTAACACGAACATCAAATATTAGAATATATAAAACGGTGATTAGACCAGTTCTCATGTATGGGTGTGAGACGTGGATCCTGACCAAAGAAACTGAAAGAAAACTTAGATGTTTTGAGAGGAAAATCCTCAGAAGAATCTTTGGGCCTTATCACGACATTAATAGCAACCAATATTGAATGAGAAAAAATGATGAGGTCAAGCAGATGTATAGAGCTTGCGACATAATCCAAGAGATTAAATCCCAACGTCTAAGATGTCCATAGACTCCCTAATAACCGCTTTGCCAAGTTAATATGAGAGGAAGTCCCCACAGGAAGAATGCCCTTATGACGTCCACAAATGCGATGGAGAGACAATATATTGTCAGATCTAAGAACAATGGGGCTACCCACCGACCCAACTATTATGGACAAGATGGAAGCAAGTTGTGCAGTCAGCTAAAACCCCCCCCTCCCGGATCGTAGTGCTACGAGAACAAGTAAAAGTAAAGAAATTAAAAAAAAATCTTTAATTGTATCCTTTCCTCTTACAATACCTTAATGATAATATTTTGATAATTTTTTCAAGTATTAATATGATGTGAAAATTTAAAGTGGTATAAAGGGAAATGGAAATTTAATAACTACTTTATCAAAAGTGATTCTGCAATAAAAGAAAAAGATATCGAGAACAAAGAATTACAAAAGTGTGAAATATCCTAGAACACTAGAAGTATTGAATAAGATTCAATGTAAGAAAACGGTATGTGACAAGACAGTCCAAATCTGAAAAAAAATTATGTGGAACATCCATTTTTGTTATCACAATATCATACATTTGTATGAGGTGTAGAGAACTTGACTATAATGTTCAAAATTATCAAATAAGCTGGTAAGAATCTAATTGGTATGTTCATGAATATATTTCAGAACATATACAAGATTCTGCATATTTCGACATGCTGACTTTACCCTGAGATCTATAGAAATATTCTAGTTTAAAAAGAGAACAATTTACATACCGTTTCACTCTCACTAGCACTTGATCCCTGACTGTTAAACTTGGAAAGCTGTGCAGATGGTTGCTGCACTAGTTGAATAGGCTGTTGTTGCGTCAGTCCTTGTAACCTTTGGTTTATAGAATTGGCAATGGGACTTCTGACTACATTGGGTCTATTTGAGACTGCCTGATTTGGTGCCCTTATTGGCAATCTCACTTGGTTAGGTTCCGTCTGTCGTACTGAGGCCGTTTGAGATCTGGAATGGAAACAAATTAAATATGTATCTATAATGTATTTAAAACAATGGTAAATTTACCTAAATGTTGGTTGACCTGCCCTGACTAATCCATGTCTAAGAGTGGTTTGGCCAGCTATTTGAGTTCGGCCAATATTGGGAATAATTGTTGGACAAGCTGTTTTGTTTGGCACATTACCTAGTTGTCTAATTTGACCCACCGATGGAGAAAGTAGACGAGCTTGGTTCGGGTTAGGAGGGCGCTGCATTGTTTTCTGTTTCTAAATTTGAAGCAGAGTTTAGAGGACAAAGCATAGTTTTAAAATTGTTGGCATTAAGTTCTCAGAAGTGATGGTAGCATTTCGGCATCATTCTATGTCTTCCTTTCTACTCTCAGACGCAAAAAAAACCGCAACGGAAAAAAATTTGGTCAAATTCAAAGTATTTCAGTTTTTTTTTATTTTTAGCCCTATTTTGATAATTTTTCTAGCACACTGTGTAAACATTTATAAATTTTAATTTAGTATAGTGAGTTTTTTAATAAAATTTTGTATTTGACTTATTATATAGGGTTAATTGAATATCCTAACTTTGAAACATCCTGTGGCATAATTCCGTTAGCGGCTTTTCGTAAAACCTTGTTTTTTGGTTGCAACCATGTCTTGTAAGTATTACGTTTTTTGTTTCATGTGAAAATATGGATTGGTTCATTTGTAGGAGCGAAATGACTTTAGCACCCATAATTTACGACTTTTCCTATTATTACCATTATCTTTTGTATTAATTTGTAATACGACGATGGGGATTTTGGTGACTAATATCGAAGGAATGTCATATTAACATCCCAGAAGCACTGTATTTAAATAAAGATTAAAAGAAACAAAAAATTCATAATTTCACCCATCTTCAACCAGAGCAACGGCTTTGGCACAATCTTCGACACTAAGAACCATGATCGATCATAGGTAAACAAAAGGTAAGTGTCAATATGACATAATGATAATAGTCACCAAAGCCACCTCGTCATATTACAAAATAACTCCAAAATAAGCATAATTAAAAAACTCGTAAATTGTGGGTGGCAAATTCATTTGGCTCTAAAAAATGAACCAAGGCATATTTTGACATGAAACAAATAACACAATGCTGAGGAGACATGGTTGCCTCCTCATCCTCAACCGAAAAATAAACTTTTACGAAAATTCGCAAACGGAATTATTCCACATGATGTTTTAAAGTTGAAATAAAAAACCATGTTTTAATTAATCCGTACAATAAGTCAAATATAAAATTTTATTTTATACTTCAAAGTAGAGATGATAGGCATGAATTAACATTGATATTCTCTTTTTTCTTATTAATAGAACCACATGATTCAATTTTACACATGATAGATCATATTTATTTTTTCAATAAATATTGATGTTAATTCAAAATATTTCATTAACTACCTTACCTCATGCAGACATCTATTATTTGACTACATTTGAATGATTAAAGTACACATATTCACATTTCTAAGAACTTAATGCCTAGAATTTTGAAATTAAGTGCTGTTAAAATGTCAAAATTAAATTAATGTACAGCTGCGATCACTGAATAGCTTACACCTTCATTTTTACATTGTAATGCTGTAAAAGCACAGTATTATGCAGATATACCAAAGGCAAAGTGTCAAAATTTGTGGATTAAAAAATAAAAGAAAAACTACTCAACACGTCCAAAACGCCTATAACGCATTTGAATGATGCCCAAAAAACAAGAGCAATTGTAAAACTTAAAGAAGGTTGGTCACTAAAGCATGTTGCTGCAGATTTGAATGTGAGTCATATGCGCATATGAAAAATCAAGAGTTCCAAGATATGTAGCTATTCAATGGCCACAGCTGTACATTCTCTGAAGCTATATTAATCTCCTTAGCATTGCATTGGCTGTATACTTAGGATATTTTAGACAACTTTATCCTGTCAGTGTTTGACTTAAGTTAGTGTCACTGTCAAGTTATTCTATTGTTTTGTTTGGATTATATACAATTTTTGTTGATTAAAACCTTATATAGATTTGATTTCTTGTGTCACTAAGGTTTGAGTAGCTTGTGTTTACCAATTTATTACAGCTAATATAAATACTTACTTGTATTACTTCTAAAGACACTTGTTGATTCAGAGTAGGCTTCATAAGAGGAGCCCTAGCAATCGCAGGTTGCGATATTTGATGGTTTAACACAATGGGTTGTTGAGTGTGTTGAATCTGTTTTTCAATAACAATACCATCAGTTATAGCATTTTCAACAAAGAATATTTGCTGACCTTCTGTAGTTCTTATGGTACCATCTTTGATAAGGGTATATTGGGGAGTTTGTATCTGAATGGGCTGTTGAATAATGGACTGCTGTACAATCTGGGTTTGTACAATTTGGTTAGGGATCTATTGAAAATTAAATATTTAGCAAATAAAAAAAGGTCTAAAGGTTTATCTTATTTCATTATTAAAATGTATAAATGTACCTGCTGTGCTGGAAGCTGGACTTGAGTATTATCTGGAGTAATGACGTATTGAACAGTAGAATCTTCAATATTAGAGAAAAAATGTTGCTCTTGATTCTTGTTACTATTATTTAAGACTTCAAAGTACTGTGGCTGTGCCATAATGATAAAATTACAGTATAGGGCACATGGTATTATTCTACCAAGTTACCCTTTGCAGACTGGATAGTTTTCTATATTTAATTATACTCCTTAGAATTTAGATAGTGATATTTCTAGAACAAAGAAACTACATGAATGAAAGTTATAAAAATTTTTACAGATAAATAATTTATTTTAATATTTCGAATTTAAGTCATACACTTCAATGATGGTTTTAAGTAGTAAAGCTCTTTATTATAAAGACTTCTCATTAATTTACTCAACTTGTAGGAATCAATAACAAATAAGTATAAGATAATTGAATCGCTATATGCAGAAACAATAGCGGGAAAAACGAATTTTTCAGGAAATGCAAAAAAACATTATATCATAAACGAACATACATTTTCTGTAAATTTGATGGCTGAAAATAATAAGCTAAGGTATTTTTAACACCGCTTAATAATGGTTTTAGTTTACAAATAAAAGTTGTAGTTTCTGTTATAAATGAGCTTCCTGCATGGCATTGATAAAATTAATAGATAAATTTTAATCGTAAGCTAAATTTGATCTATAAACCTTACAAAAAACTCTTAACAGTTAATTATTAGCAAAAGTGGGCCAAAGAACTATTAAATTATATAATTATCTGGATTGTTCTTCAACAAATACGGAACATTTTTTAATGTCTTCCATTTTTTTCAATTTGATGGGCACTTTTCCTAATGGATAGGCAGGTTTCGACAGTAAAGTGATACCAACTTTTCCATGCTCTTGTAGCTGAAATGTATGTTTGAATGCGCCATCTATAAACTCGGAAACAGTAACAATCCCCTTTTGCCACATTCATACATAAAATGTGAAAATTTGCTGATATTGAAAAGTACTTTTGCACTGCACATGTACTTCTGGAACCAGTTTTTCTTATAGTAGCCCACCAATCTTTAAAATTAATCAGAAAATCTAGCACTTTCCGTTTGATAAAGGGCATGTGAATGAGTGTGATTTTCATTTTATCTCTACTGGTTGTTTCTATATAAATGAAGTTTATTATATTGTCTGAAATTTCCTTTAGGTAATCCAAAAGAAACAACCAAATTTCATTACCAGTTTTTTTACCTTCTCCTGCATGATGAATAAACATTCTAGCAGTATTGTCTTTGATACTGTGGATACAGAATAGGGAGACTGTAGATTGTTGATAATAAAAGATCTTCCCTACAGGTGTGTTTGGTAACTGAATATTCTGTATAAAAGTCTAATGCTAGTGCTAATACGTTACCATTGTTAGAACCATCACTTTATTTTTGTAAAAAGTTTTACCCCAAAGCTTATGGACCATAAGTTCCGCCACTGCTGCTTGTTTGGCCAAAAGTTGAAAAGACATCAATTTGTGGTTGACCAAATCTAAACAAAAAGTTTTCTCTAAAAAATCTAGTGTAATAAGGATAACTTATTTTTAACACAGGATGTTTCTTCTCAAATAAGTCAAACATTATTTTAAGATTTAACTGACTGTCAAGGTATTTAATTTCTTAGTTGGAATAATGACTCATTTAACTGGAAATAATTCAATACGCAAGATAACGGCCACTTGGACATCTTCTAATTTATTGACACATAATAATACTACCAAATCTCTTGGAGATTTTCCAAGAACAGCCAGAGCTCTAAGTTTTCTAACTCCATTAATGGTAATAGCAAACACTGAAGTACAGACATGTAAACAAACTGCAGTTCTAACAGTGCTTTTATCTACATAATATTTAAAGGCATTTGGACTTCAGTTTATTTCCAACAAGTAGCCTAGTGTGCCACCTCTGTATGTTGCAAACTTCTATTAATCCTTGCAAAAATATGTCTTGGTTATCTTTGCAATCCAAGAATAAAATTTTATTACAATTTCTCGTTAGCAAATTTGTCAAAACATTTTCGTTTGCATGTATTATGTAAGTAAAATTACCTACAAGGTGGATCTAACTGTTTACCAGGAATATTATCACCCATATAATTTCTTTATAGATGGCGTTTTATTTGTGACTTTTTAATAGTATTTTGTTGGTAATTTTCAGAAACAGCTTTTATCTGTTTGTGGGTAGTAACTTCTGCACTTTCTCATAGAAATAACTGCTTTAACAGCTGTTCAAGCGCATGCATGTCAAATCTCTTACTCAGCAGAAACTGCATGTCCAGGACTCATGTGGTTACTGCTGATTAGTAAATAAATATCTCATTGACTACTATATAGGTTAAATAAGGACCTTGTTATTTTGCTGTAGTGTGACTTAATTACATGACGTGTATACTCATATTCTTGTAAAAACCTGATGTACAGAAAAATGGACATGTGTTGTTTTTGCTACAGCAATTCAATTTTACACAAAAATTTTGATTCCAGCATTGTTTTTAAAATACCTAATAAATAAGAAAGTATTTAGCTACATACATAGAAAAAAAGTGTGAATTCAATGAAATAACAAAATATGAATGTGCTTTTATAATATTATGTAAAATGTACACTTCTGAAATAATCAAGTAGGATGAAATACATTCCCACCCAATTATAAGCCATTGCAATCTAGGTTGGTAATTAATTTCAAGAATAAAGCAGTATTTGGTATCCCAGTTGCTATAACTTACAAAACATGGCTAAATCCCATTAATTTTCAAAATGAAATTAGTTTAAATACAATATCATATGGCAGTTTTACTCCATATGCTTTAAAAATGTCATTTATATCAAAACAAATAGATGTATTAAAATAAAACTAAAGGATGTAAGGAAAAACTAGTGTCTATGTTATAACAAACATGGTAAGAAAGATGTGTTTATTAGCTCTAACATAAAAAACATTGTTCTTTGAATATATACTTAAATATAACAATACCAACAATGTTTTTGGTTCAATTAAGAGATTGAACAATAGCTATGAATCATAGAAGTATTTCAGTAGAAACTGCAGTAGCAAATATTTGGTAAGACATTAAGATATATACAACAGAACATTAATAGAATGACTGGCTTTTATTTAGTTTACTTGGTTTACTTACATAGCACCTTCAGCTATAATTTATATTTGTGGATCTCATAACACCACTTGTTTAAGGTATATGGAAATTATATCACATTAATAATCTAGTGCACATAACCCCAAACAATAAATATGAGGTGACAAGTAAAATAGGACTGAAGGAAGCAAAATTATATCAGATTCAAGAGTTTAACTTTGAACAGACAAATTATCACGCACTGAATTATAACCTTAATGTTGCAACTCCTTGTTTCTATTTCAGTTCAAAGCTACTGTAAGATATATCTACTACGAATATGTTGCTTCAAATTCATCCATTACTACTAAATATTGAGATTTTGGTGCATAAATTACTCACATCTTCGTTTTTATCTTTAGTATATCAAAAAATTACCTAAAATCACGAACTGTTTCTACCTCTAATGGGTATTTGAAAGCACTTACTTGATTTACTTGTCTGTTCTAGCAATTGCCAACAACACTTATTTTAAGCAATATGTTTTATAATTATCTGCTAATTGTAAATTTTAGGATTATATCTTCTTTGCACTACAAACGAAGCAGATACGTACACACTTGCAAAATATAACAGGATACAGATCGACCAACGGCAAAATGGCGTGTTGACTGATGGGCTTGCGGCTTACACTTCAGAGTAATTCCGTTCAATAATTTTGTGACGCAATATAATAAAAGTTAAAAAGTCTTATTTAGTTACTAGACGTTTGAAAAATATATGATATGTAAATTAATATAATAAAAACAATTCTTAACGTTAAATGAAGCCCATTAAAAACTGTGTTATTGTAGAATGTGTGCAACGTTGCCGGATCTTCGGGCTATAATTTCACATGCATCTATTAAAAGGCGGCAAATTTAAAGAGATTCATATCGACCAATAAGGTTTTACTACGTGATCACATGATATACTTCATTCATTCTATTGGTTCAAAGTTGTTTAGATGTAACCATGGTAACCGGTATAAGTCTCGTCTTATTGGTTGAGCCCAATTCAATTGATCTAACCAAAATTTGACCAAATTGATTTGTCGTCTTTCTTGTGCTATATGCTGGCAACGTGGTAAAAAGAGCAAGACAAATGATTAATTACGGAATGGGTTAGGTCACGCAACGGAGATGTTCTTATACTCGGTTGTGCACATTTATCTAGAATATAAGATAATATTGTATAATAATTATTGTTTCTGTCGCATTTCGTTTTTAAATGTTATTTACAATTAATAGGAGTTTATTGCTGTTATAAAAATGTTCTACTGTTTTCATTCCTTGATTGAAGGCAACTGAAGTAAGATTTAGACTTTGATTACAGTGATTTGGTTATTCGATGCTAGATGGCATTTTTCCGATATCACAAACTCTAATAAACAAACAAAATAGAAATTTGTTTGGGATTGTAATGTGGTATATCTTGTAAGAGATGCGGTAATCAAAAATCCACAAAGCTCAATATTAAATGGCAAATCAGCGTCAAAAACAATCATACGATGACATGAGGACGCTTCATAAGCGACGTAACCTTGAAATATGAAGACATACGCACAGCTCAACATCAGTGACGTTCGTGAAATGGGATTTGATTTATGATAATTTTTTGGGACAAAGCAAAAAAAATAAGTATACTTTTTAAAGGTCTAAAACAATAAAAATTATTGTTTTTCAAGGCACAAACTACAAACACCTAAATCAAGTAATAGAATATTCTTAAATTAGGTATATGAGTAATATGGTGTGTGCTTAGCCTTTTTTTTTCAATTTCAATGCGTTACATATACAGGGTGTGAGAAAAACAGCGGGATGTTCTAATATTTTGTGAAATTTACATAGGATAAAAAAACCAAAAAACAAGTATCTAATAGTTTTCAAAAATCTATCGAATTACATTAGACACGACGCACACCCCGATCCACTGAGGGTGGTGGGGTGGAGAGCAATCTGAACCCTTCAGTGCATGATTTTTTGGTTTTCGTTACAAAAAAGTTTGCATACTGAATTTTCGTTATTTTGGGGGGTGGGGGTAAACTATTTTTTTATTTTAGAAAAATATACGTGTGTTGTTTATGAAGAACATTATGCAAATAAGGATATACTTGAAACAATATTTAGGAAAAATGAAAATTTTTAAGCAGTTCTTCGTTTTATCGAAGCAAAGTGTTGCACCACACATGTGTATAGCCATTGCACTGTGGAAATTTGCACCTTATTTGTTTTTCGGACCATACAGGCCAATGGTGTTTACCATCCATTCAAACATCCTTTACTGGCCTGTTCTTTTCTTTATTTGTAGCGCCTCCTCAGCTTCACTTGCTGAAGGTTTTCCCCTTTTTGCAATGGTGAATCGCTCTCCTGGCCTGCCAGTTGTGCTCTAAACTGAGCGTTTGTGACTTAAGGCTTCGCGCCAGTTCTACGTTCAGCTGTATTCTTGTAAATAATCTAACTGTTAACAACGGTTAGATCTTGTAGATGATAAAATATTCTAAAATACCATTTTTTACTCCCTAGAATAATTTTATTCCGTCCCATATTGCTTCACGATTGTCCCATATTTTGTTATTCTTGTACAAAATATGGCCAACTTACTTCTTTTGTTCTCTTTTCGTTTTTGTCATATCTCTTGGCCGTTAATTTTAGGAACTTCGCCAGCTAAAGGCGATAGAAACATTACTAATTTGTTATCTTTCCACACTAAGCTAGTTATTTCCATACCACCTCAAGTACCAACAAACTCTACACTAGTTCCTCTTTCTTCATTTTTCATAGCCTTTTCATCCGGAAGCTTATAATTTGGAATCCTATTCCTTCTGGCATTTCCTAAACTGTGAATACCTTATAAAATACGTTAGGCGTCCACGGCCATCATCTAACTTGCTAAACTGTTTTTTCAGGCTGTTAGGCCGTTAACTTCTGAGAAAATGTCAAGGTTCTATAAAGTTCTCTCAAAAGACAGATAAGTATTCCCTAGTAAGTCTAAATCATTAGACATGTGACAGTAACAGAGAGTAGAATGGATATCATAGCTTATGGTTCTAGGGAAAACGGTCGTGATGCAAAACAAGTGGTGCACTAGGACAAAATCAAATGGGCAATAAACTAGTTTGTACAGTATAAATAACCAGGTCCAGAGGGGATTTAAACAATTCTTTTGCAGAAGGAAAATGACCTTCTCTACAAAAAAATATGTAAGATACTGCAGGACAACTGTTCAATGAAATAATTTCGAAAATAGTCTAAAAAATTTAATGAACGGTCCTGAGAAAATGAAATTTTTCGTTGAATATATTTTGGAAATTTTTAAGTTATGTGACGGTTTTTCGTAGTGTTTGAACAAACCTATTTTTAATTCAAAGTTATAAAATTTTATTTACATGTAATAAAAAAAATAAATACTTTTAATATTGTAAATTTCATATCTTTTTATGCTTTAAAATTAAAACTTTAACAATTTAATATATTAAAAATCAAGATTTTGTGTAAAAAACAAAAAAAGACAGTTTACCAATAACTGGCGTCGAAATTTGATTAAGCGTGGATCTTCTTCTTCAAGTGCTCTGTCCGTTGCGAACGTTGGCTATTAACATGGCAATTTTGATCCTGTTTGCGGCGCTTCTAAATAGTTCGACCGAACCACTTCCGCAGATTTTGGAGCCACGAGTGTCTTCTCCTGCCTGGCCCTCGCTTACTGTGTATTTTCTCCTGGACAATATGTGGCATAGATATTCAAGCTTTCTTTGTTTAATTGTGCTCACGATTTCTTTCTCCTTTCCGATTCTTTGGGTTACCTCTATGTTGGTGACATGTTCAGTCCAGGATGTATGAAGAATGCGTCGGTACACCCACATTTCGAACGCTTCTAATTTTCTCGTGAGCGTCCAGGCCTCCACACCATATAGTAAGATCGGAAAAATGTAGCATTTAACTAGACGTAGTTTTATAGAAAAGGGAAGAGAAAAATCCTTGCTTATGAGGAGCTTTTTCGTATTGTTAAATGCTGACTTAGCTCGTTATTCTCGCCTTAATTTCTGTGGCCTGTTCCCATTTTGCATTTACGTTGGTGCCGAGGTACACATAAGATTCTACATGGTCAATTAGTACGTTACTTATCCGCAATTGTCCAGCAGGTTGTTGCTTTTTGCTTATCAGCATCCACTTTGTGTTTTTGAAGTTGAGACTCAGGCCGTATTCCTCATTAACTAAATAAACTCTTTCCATTACTTGTTGTAATTCGTCTATGGTACTGGCAAGGATCACCGTGTCGTCGGCATATCTTATATTGTTCGTTAACTCGCCGTTTATTTTTATGCTCTCATTTGCATTTTGTTAAATATTTCCTCGGAATAAATATTGAATAGGAGTGGGGATAAGATACACCCCTGACGGACACCTCCTTTGATCTGCACACTTCCAGTGAGTTTGTTGCCAATTTTTGCTCTTGCTGTTTGACCCCAGTATAGGTTTGCCATAATTCGAATGTCCTTGTCGTCAATACCTGTCTCGCAGAATATCTATCAATTGTTCATGTTGGACAGTGTCAAATGCTTTTCTAAAATCCACAAAGCACAAATACACGTCCAAGATCCGTCTAAGATCCAAGTGCGATCTACCAAGCGTGGATGCATTAGTTAAATAAAAAGCTCGTTCGGACCCATTTCCCACTTCTCCCTAACAATATCTTTCATGATGGTTTTAAGCCGTCCTACCCTCTTGCTACCAAAAAATATTTTTTTAAATCTTTTACTTTATAATAAAAACACCGGCCGATTTAAGCAAATAAGAAATATATTAACATTAACTAAATACAAACAAAATAAACTTTACAAAATGTAGAATACATGTTTTTTCTTCGATCATTTTCTCTCTTAATTCTTTGCTTTTGACATTTTGGTTAAAAGTTTAGCAGCCACATAGAATTATCTAATTTTTCCTCTTCTTTCTAGAGTATATTTAGTATATTGATAAAATTTATCAATAAAAATATTTTTGTATACATTAAGGTACTTGTCTTACAAAAAAAGAGTGTTTTGGAACTATAAGGTTCATGAATGAAGGCATTATCCGATCTGTATTGCAATGCAATGAAATTTTTAATCATATAATTTCACACTTAAGTTATTTTCACAAGTGTTTGTGTTTTATTGTGTATCAAACTATGTGGGGGGCTCACTCGAGTGGCTTTCATCAATGTTGCATATTTATTAGACAAAGAGGACTTACATTTTTGCCTCCTTCATGAACCTCTTGGAAACAAGGGATTAAAGGTGAAAAAAATGTGAGATTCTGTCAAATATTGTACAAAATATTATATACAGGACGCCTAAAAATGTTATTTGCATATTGGAAAATGATGAAACAAATGTACAGAAATGTTTTCTATAGAGAAAATATTATATAATTTGTTGGTAGAATATTTTGTGTGAAAATAAGATTTGTATTAACTATGTTGATTTATAATGCTAGGAAAATAAAAAAGGTTGGTATATGTATATTTTAACAAAGAAACAGTTTTATTTTTGCTTTTTGATTCCTAAAATAACTGAAATTAAAAAAAAATACATCCCGACCCAAAAACTAGTTCCATATTTCATATAATCTCAAATTACCAATATCATCTTTGCATATATTAGTTGGTTAACACAAATATTTTCATTGATAAGTTTTCATAATCTCCAGCAAAATGGCTGACAAATTAATCGAAGCTTAGAATATAAAATAGATCATAATATTTTTATTGTCCATATCACTTAAGCGCAGCAGTTCTATTCGGCTTGTCTCAATCTGGCCAATCGTTGGGTCAGTTCGTCCTGTTCGTGAACAACCGTAGAGGTGCTCACTGCGGAGCTTTGAGGTCCTTCTGGCAGTTCCATGTTCAATTCCAATCTAAGACAAAAACATACATCAGAATGAGTGAATCTAACATAGCACAAGTATATAAAAAGACAGATAGATAATGTCATTAGGTAGCAGGTCTACCACTAGGCTGCATGGATGGGGACTCATAAACATAATGATTTGAAAAAAAATATATACAACAAAACTATGTAACGTTTGTAGTTTATTCGTCTTCCGGGTTTGGACCGTGTCATTTGTGAGTGACCCAAAAGTGGGTTCATCTCGACGTTTCGCTACAATTGTATGTAGCTTCTTCAGGAGAACAAAGAAAACTTGTTTGTTTCACCTCTGGCTGCGTTGAGTAGTTGAGTTACTGTGACCAAATGCCCATCTTGGTAGTTAGTATTCGCCTCTGGTTGCGTTACGTTGCTAACTACCCATCTTCCTGTTCTTTTGTTTTCTTTTTTCTTTTTCTTTGTTCTCTGAAGAAGCTACATACAATTGTAGCGAAACGTCGAGATGAACCCACTTTTGGGTCACTCACAAATGACACGGTCCAAACCCGGAAGACGAATAAACTATAATTCTGACTCTGGCCGTGGAAGCCTACGATTTCATATGTAACGTTTTTTAAATATCTAACTTATAATAATTAATCATATCACATAATTAAACTTCCTTAAATAGTTTGTAATAGATCAATATATGTAAACCAGTCCAGTTTTTTCTTGTTTCCCATTTTCTTAGATTTCTATGGTCCATTTATGAGCATAGACTCATTTTATAGTCAACTTCTTCTATAGATCTCTATCCTGGGCAACATAGTTCCAAAAATTTTTTGATGCTATCTACCCATCTCATCTGTGGTCTTCTTTAGGACATTTGTCTCCTTTTTTGTAGAGGTATTACTAGACTATCTATTAAATAGCTCCATTAGTATTAGGATTAATTTTAAAAAACTCAACTGTTCTGGGGCTTTATTATTTTTAGCTCTTTCCATTTCAAATCCTTCTATATTTGGTAGTACCTCTAATCCCAAGTTTTTTGACATGTACCTGACATGAATAGCTCATGTGGAAGCATGGAGCCCTCTGAACCAGCAATAATCATAACTCAACAGCATAGTGGGACAGCAATCCAAGGGGCAGTCAAAAATTGAGGTATGAACTAAGTATAGAAAATTTGAGCAAACTCAAAACTAGACACTGAAGAACGGAAATGCTGGAAATAGGAATGGGAACAAATCTAATAATAGTATCTGGATCCAATAAAAAGATCACAATCAAAGGGAGATAGATATGTAAACAAGTAGCAAACTGTAGCAATCTATATCAAAAAGAGAGAAATAGTAGTGAAAACATGCGTAAGGAAGAAGATGATTTGTGGTCCTCACATGAATACCACACTAAAGGAATACAAGAAAGTCATGGAAGATATAGGAATTACATTAGACATACATGGCAGGAAGAAAATGGCAAACCTCTTAGTTATTCCCAAGCCAGAAAAGAACTTGGGGAACCAGGTGTTTTAGGAACAAATCTGTCACAATACAGTCAGTAGATACTGGCCTTCTTTCTGGACATAAAAAAATGCCTTAAAACTGCGTGAGCTGGGGGATAATAACAGGAATATTCAAGAAATTGAAATTATCCCAGACTTGAACTAAGAGCTCTTCTAATTTAAAGCGTTTCATAGATAAAAAATGACTTTATCTATGAAAATAAACAATAGAGTGTTATTAGAAACATGTAAATAGCAATGAACATGAAGATATTATATAAAGATAATATACATACCCAGCTTCATCAGCTACTTGTTGCATAAGTGAATCGACATCATTTTGAGGTACAAGCGTGGTAGTAGTTTGACCCATGGTATTTTCTAGTACATCTGTTTGCACACCCAGATCTTCGAATTGTTGCTCAAACTTATCCATAACTTGAGATATCTTCTCCAAATTCATACTCTTCATAGCTACATCCATGGCTTTCACAACTCCGGCCATGGAATTGGTTACTTTCCTAGTGGTAACAGCCGACTGGATCTTACTAGCTACAGCATCTACCCTAGCAGACATTCGTAAGTAATTGACGGATTGATTTTTTTGTCGAATTGCATTTTCGGCATGTATCCTAGCTACTTCCATGTTTCCTTTTTGGATTGCTTGTTTGGTTTTGGCCTTTTCTTGCTTCTCCTCCTTTTCGCATCTCTTGGAGTTTCTTTCTAGTTCTTTCACAGCAAATTTCAGGTTGAAGAGGTGCTCTAAGAAAGGTTAAGGAAAATACTGAAGTATGCAAATAAAATAACATTGCATTCACTTTTTGTTGTGAGGTAAAAGAAATTCAAATGACAAGGAATAAGAAGTACTTTCACATGTGGGTATATCAGCAGCAGAGAATTCTGTTAACAAATCAATACTGGTGAGTAATTGCAAGGAACGTTTTAAGATAAACAAAACTACCAAACGAAAAATATTTCACTCTCACCACCTTGTCAGCCCAGTCATTACAAATTGTTTTTTCAATCAAAAACAAAAATACATCAATATGTATCAAAAAAATCAATTTTTTGATACATAGTGATGTTAAAACTCTTCTTTTTAATAAAATCATAATTATCCTACCATTATACATCATCATCTTTGGCATACATTTGAAATAAAAATCAAATTAGAACTCTGCCAATAATAAAAATACTGATCAAGGAAGTAGCTGAGGATGTAACATTATACAATACAGTAGTATCCAAGAGTAATGGTAGGTAATTTGTGGTCACCCCCTTTATAAAGAGGAATATCCTTATTCATATTTTAAACAATCGCTAAAGTGACCCGTTAAAAAAGATCTGCTAATTGCCTTTGCTAAAATTCTCAGAACATTATCAGGAAGAAGGGATAAAACTTTAGATGGGATATCATCCCAGCCTGCAGCTATAGAATTTTTAATGTCTTGTAATGTAATATTTCTTATTTCAGCCTAGTTAGTGGGAAGAAAATAAAAGGATCCATTGAATCCATCAATTAAAATAAAAGGAATTTGTAATGTTTACTTCATTTAAAAAATGCATTGGATCAGAAGAAAAACTAATTTTTTCAGTGAGTTCTGGACCTACTGAGCAGTAATATTTATTCAGCTCATTGGGGTCTAAGACTATATCAGTAGTTTGGGGAACTTTAGCTCTACGATTATTAACTATACTCCAAGATTCCTTTTGTTTATTATTGGCATTTTCCATTCTAGATTTAAATGATATACATTTGGCTAATTTAGTAACCTTCCTATATATGGACCTATATTTATAGAAAAAATATCAAAAATTCATCATTGCATATTATATGTTTTTAATGTAATTTAACAACTTCAGTTTTTGCATGAAATTCTAATTCCTTTAGTAACCCAGTTTTCTTACTTTTCGATTTAAGAACTGTTTTTTGAAATGCTAAATTGAAAATCTTCATGAGAGTATGATGAAAATTGATGAAGCAAATCAGGAGAGTAAAAAATATTATTCCAATCTTTTTGATTACATAATTTGATAAACCTGTCGAAATTACTTTTGCTGAAAATCCAACCCCATCTGGCTGTATAAGGTGGATTCTTAAGGGAAATTCACATAAAATGGGATCATGATGGGATGAAAAATAGGAATCTACTAGGGACAACTGGATCTGGATGTAAATTAGTAAAATATAATCCAATATCCTATTATCTCTGGTTTAATTGGTAACCAGCATTCTCATATTAAAACTATTAAGTAAATTTGTAATGGTAATAACATGGCTGTGCGATGAATCCAGATAATCAATATTTAAGTCACCTCTCAAGATAATAAAAGCAATTTGTGGAATTTTTTCAAGCAAAGATTCCAATCTTTGAAAGAATAATTGAATAATAGACATAGGTGGTCTGTACACAACAATGAGAAAAGTATTAAGCTTCTTACTGAAAGTATTCAATGCAGAGGTGGTTAAATTCATTGTAGTCACAAAATTGAATTTATACTGAAACATTGTATTAATTAAAACTAATGTGCATCCATGGATGCTTTCAGATCTGCAAAATTTAGATATTAAGGAGTAATTGTTAATACAAAGTGTTTCCAGAGGATACAAACAGTGCTCAATTAAAAGCACAAGATCTGGTCAATCATTTTCGCTAAGAAATACTTCCAGTTCCTCAACTTTTTTGTGTATAGTACATATGTTGTATAAAATAATAAAAAACTTAATATATATTAAATTAAAATTAAATTTAGATATATTGGTATCCAGTTTATCCCCTACCACACTGAAGTACAATATTATTTATGTTATTTTTGTGTCCTGTATTGTTAAAGATTCTATTTGATCCTGGTTGGGAGATACTAATTCCTTTATTATCTGGGAAGGCCTTCAAAAATCCTTATTGCTATGTTGGTAGTTGTGGAATTTTTTGAAGTCGAAACATTTAAAACTGATTACCATGGGCCACACAGTGGGTAGTGTGGTATTGTCTATTTGCTTAGCTAGGGCATATTTTGACAGACTCATTGTAGGAAACCTACAACACAACAATTCCTACTTCTCAGTATAAATAGCTCAAGTATACTACTATTGCAGACCTCTTTCTTTGAAAAAAAGAAGAATTATTCTAAATAGTGGAAGTGTATACTAAACCCATCAAATTTTCCCTGTATATTTAAAATATAATATTTGAATTGTTACAATTTAAAATATTGTAGTAAATATTTGTATTATTCGCGTTGTTTATTTAATTTAATATTGTTTTATTATCTTTGTTTAATTCTTTTGTTAGTTCTATTCAGTTAATTAGTTAGTTATATTTTAAATTTTATTATTATGGATAGTCAAAGTTTTCCATTTGTTCCATCAGCTAATGCGTTGGTAAGTTTTTCTTAATAAATATGATAAAATGTTTTTTAAAAAGTTTTTTTTAAAGTTAATATTTTTAGATTAGTAAGGATGCTGTTCCTAGATTACAAGGTAATAAAACTGCACAAAGGTTTATTCAAAATGCCTACCATTTTTTTTACCGAATGAAAACCCTGTTGAGGTAAGTTGATCATTAAAATGTATTTATCGAATTATGTAAATGTTGTAAATACATAAGGAACTTGCTGTGTCTTATTCTTATTTAACCTCACTTTGACTTCTTAATTTTGTAGAATTTATTCCCACTTTTTTATTTTGTACAATAAATAATTTTATTATTTGTTATCAATACATTATACGGTGTAAATAAATAAATATTGATTGTCGGCAAAGTTCTATTTTATTTACTTTTGTTTACATTAATATTGACTAAGAGCACGTATGCTTGGTTGTATAGTATTTTCCAGCCACTTCGAGTCTGTCAAAAAGTTACTAACTTCGAAAAAAAAATAATTACTAAAATCACTAGACAGTTCGGACTGGGAAAGCGAACCGGGTATAATAGTAAATTAAGACATTAAAATGTAATAAACACAATAGCTAGCAAAAACCAGACAAATGTGTAAGGTTGAATTATAAAATTATAATCATAGACAAGCCAAAACTTTCCAATAAAAGAGAATGATATGGTTGTGCAGTAAGAAATAAAATTTATTTTCTTTCTGCCAAGATTCAAGACTGGAATTTTGTGATCCACAGTCAACAGAGAGAAATTGAACTTTTGTGATAAACTACTCTCATGTTAGTCACAATAATATGTTTAATCTTAAGCCAAATGACCCACATAGGTTATGGAACTGCTAACATTTAAAATGCTTTAAAAATTGGTTTATATATTTTTGTCAATAGATCAGTAAATAAATGGAACATTATTAGTATATTTGTAAAAGCTAATATAGGTATTTTGTCTTGGTGTATTAACCTAAGAGCTAGAAGTATCAATCTATAATATACTTTTAGTAGGCACATTATAATGGTAACAGTGGAAGGATTTTTATCTTTAATGAAGTAAAACATTGCACCAAGCAATAAAGCAAAAACCTAAAACTGGGAATCTATTGAACGAATCTCGTACTTAGAATCTAGCATAAAAACAGCTTGATACAGCATATATTAACAATCATACATGACAATAAGATTTCTTTTATATCATCACATCCTTCATACTCCCTGTCATTAAAACTGACAAAAAAACTTGTTTTTCTCAACAATGAATCATCTTTTATCTATCAAAATTATGTATAAATCCCATGAATTAAATCTTTATGACTCTGTCCTTGGACAATATTGATAATTCATATACTAGACATGAAAATGTTGACAAATTGCCTTTTGTACTTTTACATAAACACGTCCCTGTTTGACATTGATCTAGACAACTAAGTAGAGACTAAAAACAAACATTAATTCATCAAAAAGGATACTTTCCATAGCAGTTGAAGACATTTCATTACCCATAATTCTATGTTCTTAAATATTGCTTATTAGTAAAAAGGTGTGTTGTTATTTCTTGAAGATTTGTACTCTGTTACTTAGTTTTATGATTAATCTTCACCAACTTCCACTGAAACTATAAAATCACTTTTTAAAACAGCAGGTAATAGTTATAAACTTAAAAATCTATATAATCAACAAATTTCTCGAATTCTTAAAACTGAAAATGACATCATTGACAGAAATGAATCATTTGAAATTTGAAGGATTCGTTTAATTCTGGTGCACGTCAGAGCAGGTGATATCTCTCAATGACAATTTTTTCTCTATTTTGATTGGATCTTTTTAAAATCCTACAAATATGATTGATAACGTTATCCGACAGTTAAATCTGCGTTTAACTTTTAGTTTTATTTATATTTATGGTTTGTTTGTTACATGTACTCTAATAGTCCTAGAGAAATAAATCAATTTTAAGACTAATAAATAACTTCTAATACAGTTAAATTATAACACTTATTTTTATTGTTTATTAAAAATGTTTCAAAAATAGTTAATAAATAAGTTATTATAAATTAAAATATAATACTGTGCCAGCACCATCTACTATCAACACGTGAAGTAGTCGATGGTAGACTGCAGTTTCCTGGATTAATAAATTCAATGTTTGCAAGAATATCAGCTACAAGGAGTATTATTTTATGAAATTTTTAAAATCAAAAGACCCGTGAATTTACACAATATAAACTTATGTTATTCTCCATTCGCTTAGCTCGGGCATATTTTGACAGATTCATTGTCGGAAACCTACAACACAAAAATTCCTACTTCTCAGTATTAATAGCTCAAATATACTACTATTGCAGACTTCTTCCTTTAAAAAAAGAAGAATTATTCCAAATAGTGGAAGTGTATACTAAACCCATAACATTTTCCCTGTATATTTAAAATATAATATTTGAGTTGTTACAATTGAACATATTGTAGTAAATATTTGTATTATTCGCGTTGTTTATTTTAGCTAATATAGTTTTATTGTTCCATTATTTTTGTTTAATTCTTTGTTAGTTCTATTTAGTTAATTAGTTAGTTCTATTTTGAATTTTATTATTAGAGATAGTCAAAGTTTTCCATTTGTTCTATCAGATAATGCGTTGGTAAGTTTTTCTTGAATAAATATAAATATGATAAATGTTCTTTAAAAGTTAATATTTTTAGATGAGTAAGGATGCTGTTAAATTACGAGGTAATCAAACTGCACAAAGATTTATTCAAAACACCAACCATTTTTGTTTAATTATTTGCCCATTCGGCGTAGGTGGATCATTAAAATATATTTATAAAATTATGTAAATATGTTCTTAATAACAAAAACATTTCAGTTAACATCCAGTTCAGTTTGACATGGCGTCAAAAATTAAATAAAAGCTGTAATAAAAGTTACAGTAATTTAGTTTATATCGTTAAGTTGCTCCAAATGTAGGCAACCAACTTAAACTTTTTGTTAGGATTTAGCTGGAGTTTCTTGAGAATATTTTTAATAAACGTTTATTATTTTCCAGTTAATTTATTATTTTTTAAAAGTGATGATAATAATGCTGAATAAGCAATATTTCAAATGATATTTAATCACAAAACGTACTTAATATTGTGTTATTGTAAAATCCTCATAATAAAGTACGTTAGATAAAAAAGGTAAAATCCCGGGCCGTCCAAAACTAGTTTCTAATAGGAATAATAGAAGATTATGATTTGTTTTAATTATATTTTTGATGATATTGGATATTTTTGAAATTATATAATATGAATATTATGATATTTTTTATCTAACCTACTTTATAACACAATATTAAGTACGTCCTGTGATTAGATATCATTTGAAATATTGCTTATTCAGCATTATTATCATCACTTTAAAAAATAATAATAAATTAACTGGAAAATATTAAATATATTCTCAAGAAACTCCAGCTAAATGCTAACAAAAAGTTTAAGTTGGTTGCCTACATTTGGCGCAACCTAACGATATAAACTAAATTACCGTAACTTTTTTTATAAAACATATTTTTTATATATAATAGAAACTTACATTCTATATACATGTTATAAATTTCTAAGTCATAGTGTAAGTTTGCAAAAGAGGTCGACGAAATACTTTAATGAAATGCGCTATGAGCACGTGTACTTGGTTGTATAATAATTTCCAGCCACTTCTATACTACGTTCCACGTTTAGAAAATAACATTGCGGAGGGTGCCACGACACACACAAGTACAATTTAGGGTTGTGTAATTTGTATTTTTGTTTCCACAAACATGAATTAAATTAATGTTTTTTAACGTAATTAACCAAAAGTGCCCATTCGAAACAAGAGATGAAAAGTAGGGAAAATGATTTTAATTAGATAAATAGTATTTACAAAAGATAATTTTATTTTATCTTATTTTAATTATAGTAACGACAGTTTATTTGTTTTTCGGTGAGAATACGATATGCCATGAATCATAGAAATCAGTAGAAGATATTGACCGCTTGGAATGCGTATATCTAATTACTAATTGCAACTTAAAATAATACGATGTGCGTATGTCAGCTATTTTATGTCGTTCTCTGACTTCATAATGATAATAAGGCTTTTATTTAGTAGTTATTCTGACTTTACAGTTAAATGTTAATTGAAAATGAAAATTCAAAAATTAAGCAAAGGGAATATCTTGGACATCCCTGCAAAAGAGAGTGTCTGAGAGTTTTGGCAACACTGATCTCCATAAGCGTAATGTTATTTTCTTAACTTGAAACAAAGAATAGTCTGTCAAAAAGTAACTAACTTCGTAAAAACATAATTCCTAAAATCACTAGACAGTTCGGACTGGCATTAGCGAACCGAGTATACCGATGAGATCTATGAAATTATTGCTGAAGGGATTATATTGTGTATATTTAAGGTATAAAACAGTAGGCGGTACGTGGCGGTACTATGGACCATGATACTATTAATAACAAGATAGGATCTTTCCGTAGCTCAAAATCGATCGGGTTCGCGCATTTTGTCATTGGAGAGTAGAATTTGAAATCTTGTTAAAGTTAAATGGGATTTGTATGCATTCTGTGATGAAATTACTAGACGAAAATAAGTTAAGAGGTTTAATAATTACAATAATCGTACACATAAGGATATCTCCAAACTATTTATTTAAGATTATTTATTGATATATACAAAAAACTGACATTTCGAACGTGCAACTCTCCAATGACGTCACAAAAACATGCGCAATATCTTATCTATAGTCATAGTATCATGCTATGGACTATCGCGGAGCTTCATATTGTTTTCTGTATTTTTAAAATCTAAATAATATTTATATTTAAAATTAAATTATTAAATAAAGTAATTTTATTACTATTTTTTATATTTTATACAAATTCAATAAATAAATATTTTTGCTTCTAACGCCACCTGTTAACGTATTAATAAAAAATATGCAGGCAAGAAGCATTTGAAATATGCCTAAAAAACGCTGAATTTAAACTTTCACATTACAAACGATATTACGTCAAGGGGAAATACTTCCATTAAGAAGGCATTGGATGGAATTTGTAGCTGAAGGTGTGAAATTTTAAAAAACGTACTTGTCCAATCAAAAGAAACAGTTCCAAACGTTTTATTTTTAGTCTGAGGCCGTTGTGAGACTCGCCTGCATAAAGCGACTAAATGACAGTAATTGAAAAAACATTAGGTTTTAATTTCCCATTTAAAACGGCCCGAAATATGGTAGGAATTATAAGTTATACTTAGATGTTTTTGCATAGCTGCACTCTTCACTTTTAAAACTCACTTATTTTTGTCGATAGGACACTTTGATCAAAAGATATCGAATTTTTACCGTTTATTTGATCCATGATATGAATGATGAATAAGAGTGATGAACTCTTTCATTGCTTTGAACATTCCTCTTCTATTCACAGAGTCGTAGGCTACTTTGTAGTCTATAAATATGTGATGAGTATCAATGCCATATTCCAGTGTTTTTTCCAAAATTTGTTTCAGAGTTGCAATCTGATGAATTGTCGATTTACCATCTATGAAACCAGCCTGGTATTCTCGTACTAGCGTAATTCCTCTGTGGTTAGAGCATTCAAAGATATCTCCTTTTTTGTGTATGGTGCAAAGTATTCCAATATTCTAATCACTTGGGAGGATTTCTGTATCCATATTTCTTTTATAAGCTGCTGTAATGCCATTCAGGTATTGTGGCTATCTTTTTTATATAGTTCAGCTTAGAGATTATCTATTCCGGGTGATTTGTTTCTGGCTAGTTTTTAGCTGTATCTTTATATTCAAGAATCGTTGGTAGTTCCCCTTCCTTCTCGTCTGTTCCCTTATCTCATCTCTTTCATCTTCTAGGTTTTCTCCTTCTTCCTCTATATTAGGTGCCTGTTTAAAATATTCCACCTATCTTTTCAATATATCTTTCCTTGTTGTTAATATGTCGCCATTCTGAGTTCTACATTGTCTTGTGGTTGCCTTCAATTTTTTATGTTGATGTTAACATTCTTATAGAATGTTCTGAATTATTTCTCTCTGTTGAGGTTTTCTATATATTTAAAGCCCTTATTTAGATGGTTTAATTTTTTTTCTTTTGTGTATCCTTTTTTCTTCTCTTGTTTTTGTCTGGTAATTCTCTACAGTTGTTCTAGTTCGTCGGGTAAGCATGTTTCTACAGACTTCATTTTTTTTTGTTGCATTCTTGCATTCATCGTCAAACCAATGATTTTTACGGGCCCAAATTTCTGTTCCTATTCCATCTTTCGCTGCTGCTTCAATGTCTTGCTTTATTCTGGTCCAGTCCAGACGTCTATATGGTGTGTAAAGGGGTAGTGAAGCGCAATACATGATGTCGTATCCTGTTGGCATCACTTAGCCTCTCCTACTCAATTCCTATCTTCACCTCCAAGCTGGTACACACCGGTAACCTGAGCAACCCCACTGGAGACTGGGTAACCAACCCCAGTGGATGGTGGGGTCAGGGCAGACGAAGAAGGGAGCCTTGGTCCTCCGATGAAAAGGGGTTGAGCGAAGGGTTAACAACCCTTCCTTGTAGAACTCAATTGTTGCTAATACAATGGCTAATGAAACAAACGGACGGATCTCACAACGACGAACTCAGCATAGAAAAATGGACATGATTATGGATTTAAAATTTGTAACCTGGAACGTGCGAACCTTC